ACGTCCTTCGCTTCTTATATTCATTTGCTTTATTTAATGTGAAGCTAGTTAACATTTTTTTTTTGGGAGGGGGGGAATTTCATCAGATCTTAGTTATAAGAGTGAGAGGGAAGTTTTTTATAATATGCAGAAATTACATCATTACATTTTCATTATAAACTCCCCGTTTCACTTTTAATTAAATGTTGGTAAAAGAAAATACTATTAAAAAATATATATTTAACAAACACATAATCGATAACTTATTAAATTTTTAGATAGTGTTAATAAATTTTAAAAGTTTTTTTGATTTTAATAAAATATATTAAAAATAACTTTAGAGTTAAAGTACAAATCTGGTTCAACTGTTTTAAAAAATGCACAATTTGTATCCTAATGTGTTAAAAGACACAATGTTGTTCCCAAATTTTTAAAAACGAAACAATGCTGTCCTGCATTAACATACATAACTAGTAGTGTTAATTTCTTTAGATGGGCCCCACACTTCGATGCCATGTGTGCAGGAGAATTCTTTACTATTGCCACACGGTTATTCTTCATCATCCTCACTATATGATTTTGTCTCTCTGCTCGTCTCCTCTATTCCACTTGCCTGGCTTCTGCGCCACCGCTTCCTTTACTTGTCCAAGTGATTTTGAATTTATGTAGAAGACGATGCTATCGTTGCTCAAGACAAAGAGGAGCAGAAGGGAAAGCACCCCATGCTAGCTCCCACCCCACCTTATCAAAAGTCTTCTTTTAAAAAAATAAAATAAAATTTAACGAGCAACTTTTAATAGTAAACATAAACCTACAGTTAAAAATTTATTTTTAACAGCAGTACAGTGGCTGTTAAAAATCACATATTTTTAAGATTCTTTAAAATAATAATAATTATATAATTATTGTTAAAAATATTTTTATTTACTGTTAAAACCTTATTATAGTGTCGTGTTATGAGGAGGAAGACGAAGAGTCGAAGAAGCCGCTGCAGTAGACAAAAATTCTCCTACAAACGTGGCATCAAAGTGTGGGGACCAATATGAAGAAATTAACACTGTTAGCTATTTCTGTCAGTCTATAATGACATTTTCCTATTTTTAAAAACGCAAAGGTGACACTACACTTTTAAAAATATTATAATACTAATAACAAATTTAAACTTTAACCCAATAATTTATGAATAAAAAGACAAAAGTAATTGTTTGGAAGGATAAAAATTGAACATCTTCAGTCTCATCAATCCATATTTAAATAAAAAGAAACGAAAGAATGACAGTTAAGTTATAAAAAAAATTTAATAACAATTAAAATTATAAATATCAATTCAAACGATTAAAAATAAAAAGTTTTGTTATAAATTAAAAATTATATTTAATATTTAAATATTTATTTATAGTTAGAAATTTTAAATTTAGAATAATATATTTATTACTTATTTTTTAAAATATTTTTTAGAAATTTAATTATTATTGATTTAATATTTTAGAATTTAACTGTCAGTATGAGATTGAAAAAAAAAAAAAAGGAAAGGAAAGGATGGTACGTTAGATATGTAAAAAGCGAAGGACGCGCTGAGGAACGAGGCGAAACAGCATGACGGAACATGGACGCACAGGATTTACTGTTCATGCGCACGCGAGTGGACTGTAAAAATATGATTAAGATGATGATTATGAGCTTTAGAGAGACAAAGCCTCACCTCTGTTAGATGCAAGATCATATCGTACTCCTGCCTCCAACGGTCAGGATTCAACACGTTCCATCCCACGAGATCGCGTCCGTGCAAACTAATGTTCGAAAAAGATCATGCCAGATCCTTTCCTCTTTTTAACCTCCCTCAAGTCAAAACTCCCCAACACCATCCCCACGTCACCTGTTCCCAACACCTTAATTCTCCCGCGACTGACTCCCACGCTCCTCTGCTTTTCAATCCATTTTCCTCCTAAAATATAATCATCTCGTTATTTTCATAGCCTCATTAATATTAATATAAAAAATAAAAAATAAGAAATTTTTAAATATATCCTTATATAATAAATTTAAAAAATGATATCATATTATTTTTTCTCTTATAAAAAATAATTTTAAAAATATTTTTTAAATATTACTTAAAAATTACACCATAATTTATAAATAGAATCAAAGAAATTTTTTAAAATATATCTTAAAAATAAAATTGGAGGGAGCATACAAGCATGAAAAAGATACCAATAAGAAATGGCATTGGTCATAACCTAACGAATCGATTTGAATTCTTATTAAAAGATGACTCTGCATTTATTTTTGGAGATGTGGAAACGTAGAAAGGATGAGGAATTATAAAAACAACTTCTAAAAATAATAAAAAATATTATTATTTTTTAAAAAAATTATGAGAAATTTTTTCTCAATTTCTCTTTCATCCTGATCAAGTTTAGTGTTTTATCCTAAAGGAAGGCAACATGCAAAATTGCAAGTCAGGGATGGTAATGATGGTAGATATAATAGAGTGATGAGAGAGAGCGAGGCAAACGGTGGGCCGAGAAACCTCAAGTTGCAATAATTTTATAATTATGCAATAATCAAGAGATAGAGTACCATATACTAGATAGAGATGATGGGTGTCGGGCCAGACCCCGGGAAAAAGAGACACCATCCAATTATTTCAAATTTAAATGTGTCACTTTTCATTTTTTTCATTTTTTTTAAATATCTAAGCCATTTGAATAATACAAGACTAGAGTTAGGCAGGTTCGGGGCAATGGCAGGAATTTTCTTTTTTTTTTTAAAGGAACTGGAGTCCCATATATGTAAATAAATATATTAATTTGATAATTTATTGAGGCTGATTCTGACAGGAAAGGAATTGGAATTGGATAAAGAGGAGGGGCTAAGATCTTCTTAGGATCCGGGACCCCACGTAGCGTTAATGCCTATGATGTTATTGTCACTGTTTTTGTATCTGTGGGTGGACCTCGTACCATTCCCACGACCCTAATCTCTGTTTTTTTTTTTTTTTTTTTCCCTGGGGCGGTGGAATCTGTTATAACTATATTAGTCCTCTCTTAAGGCTTCAAAGGCCAAACAAAACAAGGTCATGATGGGGCTTATCTGGAAGCATTCTGCATCTCTTGATGTTGTACTTAATTCCCAATGGAGTCTTAATCTTCGTTACCCTTTCTGACTAAGCACACGCTGACACATTGTTGTGGTGCTGGGGCTGGGAAGAGAATTAGTGTGAGATATGATGAAATCTGAGAAATGAATGCATGGATTTGATGATACGATGAGAGGAAGAGCGCAGGCCCGGGGGGGGGGGGGTGGGGCAGGGAGTGAAATGGGAGTTAAATGACAAAATGGGAGCATTAATGAGTATGGAGCAGCTGAATCCGTGAGGATCCTGCACCAGATAGATTGATGGAGACCACCCACAGTCACCAATTTCGACTTCATTGCTCCTGCCCCGTGCTACCAACCTACTTATTCTTCAGGACCATCATACGTGGCTCCTCTCCAATATAATTAGCTACAGCTTAGTTAGCGTTTTGAATTGGGAAAATATTATCCTCGTCTGTACTATTACAAGTTCACGTTGCGGATGGTTCTGGTGGCCGAGTGAAGCTCTGAATACAGAAATTCGTGTTCAGGTTCTAACATGTCCTGCTTGGGAAGTTCAATAGTTGCAAATATATTATAATTAGTCATCTGTGTATCTTACAAAATATATATTTTCATGCGAATAAAGATTTTATTTGTACGTGGGTCATTGTTGAAAGATGATTATATTTTTAACCAAAGGGAGCATGAGCTAGTTATAAATCTTATAGATTTTAAACATTAAATCAAAGGTATTTATGGGGAAAAAAATCTAAAATTGTGACACATTTAAGATGGATAGTCAATTATCTTAATCTTGATAAAATAGTTACCTATTCCTTGTATTCAAAAATACAAGGAGTATTTAACGATTTACTCCTCTCTTTAAAAAATATAAAGTATTTTTAATTGAATCTCACCTCCAATGAAGTAATTACTTATTTTTAAACTAACCTTATTTTTTTATATTTATCTCTATTAAATACCCTACAATAAATATAAAATTATTTATCAATGGGAACATTTTTGAAAGGAAAAAAAAGGCAACGATTACATCTCAAAAAATTAAAAATACCTTATATTTTTTAACATTAAACTCTTTAAAAGATACTTTACATTTTTAAAAGGAGGGAGTACATTCTTTGAAGTTATTTTATCAATATAATTGTTTGAGTTATTTTTAAATAATTTGAAAAAATGGTAAAAATAAAAATAGATAGCCTTAGTATTGAGTTTTGGGCTTCGGATCCATATAGCCACTCGAGCTCTAGGTAATAAGTCATTCTGCTTACCCGGCTAAACATCTCGCGTATGGGAGAATTGCCCTGTGTTCATGACTTTGCCCATTTTTTTAGCCTTATCTCAGATCTCAGAAATCAGAATCGTGGAAAAACGCCATGACCTTAATCATTACCATTAAAACGGGGCTGAAAAAAAGTTAGGTATAAGCCAACTTGTGTGATTTATAGAATGTCTTTGAAGTTCAAATCTCCATTCCACCCAGCAAAATAGTTTGGTCCTTGTCATTTATAGAAAGTGACTGGAATTTTCACCCACTGTACATGATCGCAATTGGATACTCAGTTGACCATTTCTTTCACGAGCATAGAAATGTGGTACAGCAACGCAACCCAAGAGTCACAAACTTACAGCGAAAAGAGTATATGATGATGTAATAAGTGATCTCCAGAGTATCTTTCGGCGAGAAGGTGCATGAACGTACTCACCTAGCGGAGAATCGACTCAAAGGGCAATGACATTCCTTTCAAAAACGGTATGGCCCAAGTAAAATTTGAACTTGAAGCCTTTCTTTTTAACTACATTTCGATTAAAGACATATTCTGAGTGGTGCAACTCGCAAGACTATAGTTTGCAAGCAGTTTCTTCAGCTTATAAAATTTGTCCCAGTTGACGTCACCAAGAAATGCTTACAATGTATGACAGATTCAGGAACACCAAAACATGGATTAAGGTTACGCTAAGTCTAACTAGAAATTAGAGTTTCTCATCTTAAAGACAAGAGAAGACAAACCACTCGCAATAAGCACTCCAATAATTCCTGAAATGGTCCAGTCATATGCAAAACATTTTGGGTGCAAAAGAAGCATGAACAACGTAAGCTAATGGCAAGGAAGCACATTTACAAATTCTGCATTCACGGTGGTACCAGTCTGCATTTATGTTACATTGTTTCGTTGTGATGTATCGACAAATTGCAGGATAGCAGAACAGTTGATAGATTTCCTTCACCAGTGCAGAAACCAGTTAATAGTAACCTGTACATCCATAAATTATTTGGCTGTGATGACATCAGAGCGGTGACACTACCGACCAGTGGGTGCATTAGCACTTTCTTTGAAAAGAATATTGGCAACTGAAGGAACCCATACTGTGTTGCCAGCATTTACAGCACCAGGAGGTCTCCATGCAGAGTTGCTAGCATTCTGGCCATCTACGTGCTGATTTTCTCTATCTTTTGCATGCACCTTGTTCTTTGCCATTTTCTTTCCAATTGACAAGCCCAATTTCAAAGCTGTAAACAGGCCAAATGCAATTAGGGCAGGTCTAACTATCCAGTGATAATCCTCTACATGTTTATACTTCCCTATGATCCCAGGGCAAGTGCTAAAGTTAACCGCTTCAACCTCAGATGAGTCAGCTAAGAAGGTGCTCGCTTCATCCCCAAAAGTCAACATCCCTGGGAATTTGACAACTAGACACCCATTTGGTAGGATCCAAGATATCCTTCCAGTAGCCCAGGCCCGGCCCCTTTTACGAGGCCATTCAAATCGAGGACTCAAGACATTGACTTTAAGCCTTACAAACTGCCCCACACAGTACGGCTCTGCCATTTCAAGTTCTGAAGAATTACCTCTCCAAAGAGTTTCCAGTCCAATAAATCCAACAGCCACTCTACCATCACGGCTAATGGAATGCAGAATGCCCACTGGTGAGTGCTTCTCATCTTCTTCCTTCAAGCGTACCCAATCACCAGCTGCCAAACCAGATGTGACACGCTCCAGAGTTGAAATATGAATCCTTAGAGGGTCATGAATACCGTGGATCCTCACTAAAACAAAACCATGATCTGCACTACGTTCTAAACCAACAACAGTTCCTTCCGGGACATCCATGTTTTGATGTTTGCATGAATTGGTTGGTTTTCTAGATCTTACCACGTCATTCACCTGGAGACGATCCTTTGAAAGAAACCAATCTGTATGGCCTGTGCTGCTTGATTTTTCAGCAACCGTCATGGTTCCAAGATATTGCCATCCTCCATCATTGGCTAATGCATCCAGAGAACTGTGTAGTTAGCAGAACAAATGAGAACAAAGAACTAGTTACAGCAGGTTTTGTTATTTTCATGAACACAGATGAAATTAACTAAAGGAAAACCATGCTCAATTAAAAGTAGCTCCAGTATTTCTCAATTTCATTTTGGTGACCACAACAATGATAATTGATTAGAGTTTCAACTTTGTGGTCCAGATGCTATCCAAAATCAGTAGAAGACAAGGTAAGAGCAGTCAAATGCAGGTACAAAATCAACAGCCAAATTGCATGCGGGGCACATGAAATTAAAAAGCTGAAAGCCTCATGTCTGTCCTGCAAATAGTGATTTTTAAAATAAGACCATGTCCATAATAGTTGATTAACAGCATCATTTTAAAATACCAAATACAAATATTTTTATGCACGGACATGTCCAAGCTCTTAAAGAAGGTCTCTAAACTACCACTTGTCAGTACAAGTTTCGGTTCAATTTACACTCGTGATAACTTCTACCTCTGAAGAGTTAAATTTAAGGGGCTTTTCGAGTTCACTGTAAGCCCTGCTAGTAACTATAGAGAACCCAGTCAGCTCTTACACAGTAGTCTGAATGAATTTTGTCACATATATGCATCAGGACATAGCAGGCACACCATAGAAGCTCTGCAGAGTGAGAATGGTCAAGAGGAATTAATCCAACTCCTTTGATACAAAAACCAATGGAACTTGAAATTCTATACTCGCATCACTAATGCAATTAGTTTTGTAGGAGAATGAATTTATCCTTATGGAACTTGATAAGCCACTTAAACTGAATGCTAAAAATAGAATAAGCCATGAAGATACCACAAAGCTATCTAACTACAAAATAAAAAAATTTTCTTGCTAAGTTTTGAAAAAAATGCAAACCTTTTAAATACGTTCAGAATGTCCATCATTGAGGGGCGATTCCTTAAATCATACTCAAAACATCCGCTGAGGATATTCTCAATTGAAGAAGGAAGGCCACTAGGAATAAGAGGTTTTTCATGTTTTCTAACAACTAATTGGTATATTTCACCCACCGATCTTCCATGCCAAGGTTGATTACTAGTCAACATTTCCACAATGGTACACCCAAATCCCCACGAATCTGTCTCAAAGGATATAGGGCCTCTGACTTCAGGTTGCCATTGTTCTGGCGCCATGTAATTTGGAGTCCCCAGCCTGTGAGCCATATCTGAGTTTGGGAATGAGAGGCCAAGCAGAAGACTAGGAATACCAAAATCTCCCAAAATAGCTTGGTCATTATTATCGAGAAGCACATTAAAGGGTTTAAGGTTGAGAATTAGGATTCCTTTTGAATGAAGTTCCAGAATACCTTTGGCCAGATTGATTCCATACCTGCAGCCAGTAACATAACTTTAGAGTTGACGGTCCTTTATTTTCATTTTCATTTTATTTTTGGCTAAATCAATTATCAATATCACCCCAAAGCCACATCACCTCAACGCATCATGAAATGAAATCCTTCCTTCTCTAAGCCTAGCCATTTTGTCACCAACAGAACCCTCGTAGAAATTCATAATGATGCATATCTGTAAGAAGAAAAAATAAATAAATAAATAAAGATTCATTGTTAGTAAGGTCCAAGTTGATAGAAACTTGAAATATACAAGAAAAAGAATAAAATTAGCCCAACCCTTCCGTTTACAATTGAAATTCCATGTAGCCCGCAAGCTGCAGCCACTCCTTGGCACTTATGATATAATTCGTCAAATTTCTCTAATACAATCTTCAAGTTGGCCTCTTTGATTGGATACAACATCTTAGCAGCAACTTCATGATGCTCGTCATAATCTTCAGTGGACTGATGATGAGTTGCCAACCAAAGGTCACCGAATGGTCCCCGGCCAATTCTGTGCCTAAGTTTCAACCTCTCAGGTTCAATCCATGGACTTGCGTGGCTGGATGCACCTCTGACAGTTCTTAGGTTCAGATGATCATCCCCCAAGACCACAAAATCAAAAGATGTTGATGGAGTAGCAGGGACTTCTTTAGCCATTTGTCAATCTGCAGCCAACATTTGATGAGATAATTCAGCAAATAGAACAAGTCAAAATCCAAATATAATCATTAACAATTTTGAGAACATGTCGAAACACACAAATTACACCAGAGAGGAGGTGAAAGAAGATAATTTTTCGAGTCTAAACTCCTGACAATAAAGAAAAAATACACCCCAGTTGACTTGATTCCACTCTGATATATAAAGTTGATCACAATACTTTCTCAAGCAGATACTAACTCAAAGGTAATTGTTTAATGTTTTTTCTCCAACATTAAATCATTCATTAATTTGAAATATTACTCCTTAATTTGCGGGCATAAGAGTTAAAAAAAAAAAACTAAAATTAAAAACATACAGCAACAAGGTAATCCAAAACTTTCATCATACAAGTCAGAAACAAAAATTCATCGACTAGACTGAGCTAGATACAGCTACCCCTTATGCTTTGAATTAAGAACTAGAGGCAGTCCGAAATTCGACTCCCTTAAATGCGCCTTCTATTCTCAATAACGCTTGAATCTTTGCATGAAACAGCCACCGAAAGCTTCTGTTGAAAGAACAATTCAACTTTCACGAACCCGCCCCCTATCGGATACGCAAATCTCTCAAGTTTCCAGAAGTAAAGAAGAAAGACAAAGCCTTTACGAGTTGCAACTAAAAATTATGGAAAATAAACAAGTAAATAGTAAGAAACTCACTGAAACGAAGAACAAATCTTCAGTGAAAGCGGCGACCAACCTCGGCGTGGTAAACTTAGTAAAGGACAAAGACATTAGCAGATTCAGAGCTAAAATCGAAGTAAAGTCGAAACGGAGAGAGAAACGACTGAGAAGAGGTTAAAAACAAACCAACCTCAGGGCCTGGAATCTCGAAAAACAGGAATCTGAACTCTGAAGTTCCGAACCCAACGGAAAGAAAACATGAGGAGGATACATATATACATATATATATATATATATATGGAGAGAGAGAGAGATACACAGAGCAAATATTAAAGTAGATGGGCCTAAACTACGTATAAACATGGGACCCACGATCCTGTGAAGAAGTAATTCATTATAAGGTTTTATTTGTATGCATGTAGTTTGGTTTGGGTAAGGTAGTGTACGCAATCTGCCACACATGCCCACCCGACCTTAGCGCAACCCCGCAGGGGTGATGATGGTAATGATTTCTTTCTTTTTTTTTTTTTTTTGAGCAAAGGTAATGATTCCATCATTTCAAGTTTTCGACGTAACCTCCAAATTACACTGATGAAAAATAAAAACAATAAGATAAATTGCAATACTCTTTTGGCATGAAAATAAATTGTAATATTTAAGCAATAAGCACAATGGAGATTGAAGTCGATTATACTACTTTTTTGTCTGATAATGTCGCAGAACTTTCATGCTTAATATTTCCATCACGACAACTCTATCGAGTTTATCATGGATAAGTGTTTTTGCTTCCACGGCAATTCCTGATATAAGGTATTCACCCAACTTAGCAATAAGCCTAATGTCCCATTATTTCTATGTTTTCTTGTTGGATGATAAATTAATTTTTTATACTTTGTTGTCAAAGACTTAAAAGGCCCATTCAGTTTTCAAAAACGGTTTTTTATTTTTCAAAATAAAAAACTTGCTTTAATAAGTGTTTTAATTTAATTTTTTTAAATTATTCTCATTTTTCATTTTAAAAAAAACAGAAACATTTTAAATCTATTTTCGTTTATTTTTTTTATTTTTAAAATACATTATATTTGATTATTGAAACTATAGTTATTCTAACTAATTATTATCACAAATCACTATCATTAACTGCTATTGATAATTAGTATGGGTCAATTTTTTAACTATAATTTTTTTTAAATTAATACAATCAAATAAATTTTTTTCGTTTTGTTTAAAAATTAATTTTAAAAACCGTATTGCAAATGAAAAAGGGCAAAAAAACAAATTAACAGTCCCAAAGTGTTTTACCCTGAAATTCTGCATTCTTGTATTAAAAAAACATCAAAACTGTTTTTTGACAAAGGAAAAAAAAAAAAAAACTTGAGTTGCTTCGTTCAGGGGCTTCCTACACCTTCTTTTTCCCCCAAAAATACTCTGTCAGCTCTACTATGCGAGCGCATTCCGTGTTGAGGAGCACGGCATGATGAACCCTTGATTTTTATTCTCAATTGATCTTTATTGTTTATTTTAAATTTATTATTTAATATTTTCAATATCATATTACTAAAATAAAAAATTATAAAAAAATATAAAAATTTTAATATTAAATCTATATTATCCAGAATACATTTACATAGTTAATTTATAAACATTATAAAAAAATTAATATTAAATTGGATTATTCAAGTTCTGTACTGTCTAAAGTATATATAAATAGTTAATTTATAAAAATATAAAAATTTTAATATTAAATTTGTACTGGCCAAATTAATTATAAATAAATTTATTAATAAATTTATAATTTTTATTTTGATAAATATAAAATCAAAAAAATTCAAATTTGGACAGTCCATACCTCATCACCTGAAATGAGTAACATTATACCCATCTCCTACTGAGCCCAAAAGACAATCCACATTTAATATTAAAATTTTTATATTTTTTAATAAATTTTTATTTTAACAATATAATATTTAAAAAATTAATAAAATAAATTTAAAATAGATGGTAGAGATTACATGGTGATAAAATCAAGGCTCAAATGAGCCCTTGAGATAATGAGCATTTCGTGCCTATCACACTTATGAGCAGGCAATGTGGATGCCTTTGCTACATGGACCTATAAGAATCATATCCAGTATAAAACCAAGACATCCTAATTATTATATACGCGGATGTGGTTTTTAAATTGAATATAGTTATATTAATTAGCTATGAAACCTGTTATTATGTTTGGGAATGAAACATTTTCACTGGGATGACCACAAAACATACTTTTCTTTTTGTATAGTTTAAATATTTAATTTTTGAATCTTTTGAAATAACTTTAGAATTCAATGCCTTCTAGCATGGTTGATTGTTTGATGCAACCTTTCTTTTTGTTTTTTTTTTTGGGATAAAAAAATTCTGTTCTTTCGTTTTGTGCTTGTGATTTAAATTCAAGCAGAAAAGAAATTCCGCAAAAGGAAAAGGAGAAAGAAGACGAGGTGATGAATTGGCTCCGCTATGGGGAACCATTTTGGGATGGATTGGAGGTCACAGAGAGACAAAACAAGGAAACATATTGGACTACATTTAATCATATAAAATATTTAAATGAAAGCGAATTTACTCTAAATTTAGAAGATTTTAATGTTTTAGACAAATTGAAAGTATTTCAACCAGGAAAAAAGAAAAAGACAAATTGAAAGTATAACTTATAGGCAGAATGGATCCTCTCAATTGGTTATCTGAAGTCGTGGTGAAGATAGACTTACTAATTAATTATGTTGCTCTATTTTTCCTTTTCCTTAGTTACAAAAACATTCTTTCACTTCATATTAAACTAACTGGGGAAGAAGGAAAAGGCATAAAGAAGTGAGTTCATCCGTATGTAAAATTATTTAAACTCCTATTTCAACTGAGTTTAATCTTTTTTCCCCCTCACCACTTTGACTAAATTCATTTCTATTACCTAGTATACATACCTACATGGCTATATCTAATATAAAATCTATGAAAATCGCCCCCTATTCATTAACCACAAACATGCCTAAGAGTCGGTGAACATGTGCACACAATCTTGCCATAAGACATGCCTAAATCTAATGAGTAACAAGTTCATGTCAATTTACAAATAGGCTTTTTCCTTTTAAGCATGGTGAGTTGGAAAAATACTACTGAGTTAGATATGATCTCCTTATTTTTAAAAATAATTAAACTTGGTCTTTTTTGCAATTATAGGAGACTAATGGAAGTGTTCATAATTTACAAATAATACTATCTGTTGATGTCTGTTCATTTATCACACTTATTTACAACTAACTACTACGCCAATAATACATATTATTCCTTATCACTCAATCAACATATTATCAGTAAATGTTGCCCAAAAAACCATTCACAGACAAATTTAACAAGAGAGGCAACCATGCAAGTAGTACAATAACAAGAAATTAACCTATGCTTAAAAGCTTGAAGTGCTACTTGACAAAGCATATCAAAATTCTAGCATATGTGGATTGGGAGGATATATGTGTGGGAATGTTTAGATCCAAGAGAATTGTCATCATCGATTCCTTTATTCTCTTCCTATCAACCCAATCATGCCTTCCAAGCACGCGCCTCGCAATTCGCAGTCAAGTCTTTCAGACATTTTAAGCGACGAAGATAACATTCTAATGTTAATTTCCGTTTATTTTTCCATTTTCACATTACCCCGAGAAGGATTCAGAGTGAACAAACACATTATACATTCAGAAATATTTTGTCACCAGAAATTGTGATCCAAAAAACGCAATTCTACACACATATATAGCACCAATCCTGCCATGAGCCAGATTGAAGCTGAACACAAGGGTAAGTAATTAAACAGTAGGAAGAACCTTCTTAACAATCTCCTGGCTAAGATTTTGGATTTGGGAATCAAGGGACTTGATGGTCTCTTCCTTTTGCCTCTCCAAGCTGGCCAAAGCCTCCTGCAACTCAGCCTCCACTTTCTTCCTGCCTTCAGCCAGCTTCTGCTCCACCTCGGCCTGGGTCTCCTTCTTCATCTGATTGAGAGCAGCAGAAATCTCAGCCCTGGCAGCGGTCATGACTGCGGCCGCCTGTTCCTCAAGCTGCTTGACCTCCCCCGAGGTGTCCTTGACGCTGTTCAGCTTCTCCCGGATGGCGGCGTCCCTTTGGTCCATGAAGTTGCCGAGAGGGGAGAAATAGAGCTTGTCGAGGGCCACCATGAGGAGAAGGAACTCGGCCATGATAATGGGGAGGGTGAGGTTGAAATCGAAGAGAGCGGCTTTCTCGATTTCTACGGCGAGAGAAGGAGGGGCCAAGGCAAGAGAGGAGGCAGCGAGGAGGGAAAGGGATTTGAGGGTGCAGGGAACCAGGGACAAGATTTTGGGCTTTGACATCTTCACCGAAAGGCTTCTGGGGACTGAAATTTGGAGTACTGGAACTTTGGGGGAAGGGGAAATGGAGGAAACGGGAATCACGGGTTTGGAGGAGGCCATGATCATGTTGGCCATCGCAGCGGATGAATGACTTGGATTTCAAGCGTTGCTCTCTTCAGCCTCTCAGCGTTTCAGATTGCGGTATATGGCCAAGCAGAGGAAGAGGCTGATGAGTTCCGACGAGGGCTATCCAAAATCCAAATTGTTCGCCACACAAATTGGTCGAAACTCTCAGCCTCCTTTTTCCCTCCCCACAAATTTGTGACCGTAGATGACGCCCCGCACGCAGACAAATGGACGCACGGCACGCGCGAGGAGTTTTCCAATCTTATTGGGCCGGGTCGGATTCCAACACAACCTTTCATGGGCATTCAGGCTCTTTAATGTGAGTGGGGAAGTCATATTCAACCAATGGAATCACTGTCTGAATCAGCTTAAAGTATAGCTTCGAAAACATAATTAACGGGGGCAAAATCAATAGAAGTAATAAATCTTATTTTGAACTGAATCAGAAAAAATACATAAATTTTAAATTTAAAAAAATAATAATAAAATTTCTTCAAATTATATAAATAATAATTTAATCTCTTAAAATATTATAATTTAAATAAAAATTTTAAAAATCTTTGTATTAATAAATTTTAAAATGAAAAGATCATTTTATCTTTATTAAAAATAATAAGTTCTAGTCACAATTTTTATTTAAGAAATCATAATTTTTATTCTGTAAATCATAAGAGTTAAATAAAAGATCATAACTTATCAAATATAATTTTTGTTATTAAAAAATAAGTCATAATCACAACTTTTATTTGAAGAATAAAAATTTTTATTTTATAAATTGTAAAAATTAAACAAAAAATTATAATTTATTAATTATAATTTCTATTATTAAAAATTAAATTTTTAAAATAAAAAATCTCATTCAAAATTTTTATTTAAAGAATCATAATTTTTATTCAAAAAATTATAAGGATTAAATTAGAAAATTATAATTTGCCAATAAGAATAAAATATTTTTTTAATTTAAAATTTATTAATAAAAAGAGCCTTAAAAACTTTAGTAAAATTATAATATTTTAATATATTAAATTATTATTTATATAATTTAAAAGTATTTTATTATCAATTTTTCTACAATCTGTGAAATGGGCCACCCACAAAAGAAAGAAAAAGAAAACTAACGAAAACGTGGCCGATTTTTCAAGGTTAATTATGAGCCATATATATCACATCACGCTAGCACTTTATTGAGATCCACTTTGATGCTTCCATCGGAAGTAAGATGACAGGGAAAGGGAAAACGGAGAAGGAGGAAGAAGTGTGGAGGGGGATTCTGCATATACAGTCCCATACTCGCATGGGTCAAGCATCATGGCAGCAAAAATTTAAACACACAAACTTCGCCTTGACAGAAAGAACTCATCTTTCAGCATGTTGCGATAAAATAGGCCATGTGTCAGCTGAGAGCAGATATTTCTGTGTATCAGCACCACCCAATTTCTGCATGTTTTCGATAAGATCGCTTTTTCCTGTAGAAGTTTATCTTCCTAAAACTGCCCAGTAAGCCTCGAGCAAACCTCAAGGGACAGATCCTGCCTTCGGTTTTACTTCTCGTGACTGCAAGTCGGGTGCATGTGAATAACCCTGCCCAGAAGCTTGTCAGCTTGTTTTCAAGATTCTTCACCCGAGCATCATTATTGAATTGCTGAATCTTCCCCTTCTCTATGACTATGCTATCCAAACCAATTTCATCATCAGTGTCACTGGCATGATCTTTCTGCAGATAGCTACTTACTTTTGATGAGGACCTGCATATGTCCCAAGGACGTCCAGCTGCTAGTGTAAGAACATTTTTGATGGCTTACAAAATCAACATGCATAATATCTCCAGGAAGTTTCCATTGATATATCAACCCCAGTAGTAATTGGTCCACACCCTCTAAGCCATATAATAATTTACAGATAATAATGAAAGATTGGTTACTGAAGTCAGATTGGTTCATTTTCATATTTTCCAAATGACATACTTGTTTCCCAGGTCAATCATAGCAATGACACACTCAACTAGGGCACGTCGAAGATCAATCAGGACTTTTAGCTCTTAATCATGCAGGGGAAAGAAGAAAATTTGTTGTTGAGCAGAACATCTTTATCTTCGTCACAGAAATACATAATGAAGTCCGCGGATAAAATCATACCCCCAATTTGGTTTTGAACTAACAATTCTTTTCTTGAATCTCCTCCTCCTCACATTGTAACAATTTGAGACGTGTCGCATGAAACGAAGCTGCACATATCAAAACAAAAACCATACAGATTCTGAGCAATGGGTAAGCTTCACGTTGCACGAGAGGCATAATTTAACAATGATGGAGTACTTATTTTATTTAAACTGTAAAAAGAAACTAGAACAAAAACCAATTTGAACAGTATCAATTTTCCATTCCCATACATTGTGGTTGTCTTTTTGGCCAGAACATTGCGCTTGTATCGGAAGTCATTTTAAATTGCTAACTAAATGTATTCAACCTGGATTCAAAATTTGATCCCAATATTTCAAATTTATTACAGTTTATAAATAACCATCAAGTTGAGCATGGAAGTGTTTTCCTTTCTTTCTTCCTTTCTTCTTTTTTTAATTGAAGAAGTTTTTTCCTGTCTGGTGACCAATTAGACGACGATCTTTCAAAAGTTACACAGTGACAAGCATAGAAACTAGCGATGCAGATTCCTTCAATCTGCAATTTTTACATCCACGCGCACCCGTTGTATATAAAGAACAAAAAAGAAAGAAAAATCAATCTACAAAAAAAATCAAATACTTGGAGAGAATTAAAATGTTAAGAGGGAAAGTTTATAGGTCCACAAAGCTCATAAGAAAATTTACTAATTCTGAAAGATATTTCTCATGCATGTGTCTGCGTAGGTTAACTGGTCAAGCCAGATCTGCAATAACTGAAAGGATCGAAATTACTAACCTGGTCACCGTCCTTGATGCCATAGTTTCTAAGATAATCTGTTTCTGTAAGTAGCTTTTGTCCATCATAGCATAAGCAAAATTGCCCCCAAACATGCGGCCTGTGTAATCCGAAGCAAACACAAAAGTAAATAATTAATAGGAAAACACCCGTACGCATGGGAATTAATATTTTAAAAGGTGACATGCATTCCTTTGGCAGAGAAAAAAAGGGGGGGGGGGTTAAATACACTTCGACACAAGTCAAAGCGGATCACGGACGGCTTCATTTGAGTATCAAACCAGCTTTCTTTAACTTCAGCCAGGTTGGAGTTTAGTTATTGTAGAAAATAAAAAAAGAAAAATGGCTCCTATTCCGTAAGGTTGGGTAGGCAAAATCTCGTAGTTTGTCAATAAAAAATTGGGCAACAACAGTTAGAAGTCTCCGGAAAAAATCTGCCGTTGGCCCCTGTCCTTGGCAATCAAAACAGTAACTGGCACGGTGAGAATTTGAATCCTTCAATTGGCTAATCGTTCAAGTAAAGAAATATAAAAATAGAGTGGAACTCATATTAGATCCGTACCACCAGGTGAGTCTCATCTAAATCTGTATGTATTGAGCAATTGAATAATTGAGAGAATCCAAATCCAGAAAATATCAAGTTTCGGTGGACTAAACTAGATGTATAGAACTTCACATCACACAACACACATGCTTCATCTGCATATGAAAGATATGAGTAATAACCACACCATGAAATTTTCCCCGCTCCCTTCTTAGGCATGTGACTGAAAACTGCCTCCACAGCCTGCCAAAGTTCCGCGATAGTGGCTGTCTTTGTAACCACAATATCTGTGAACAAACTCTTCATTCAGCAAAATCACATACTCAAAAGTTTCCTCAATTTTCTTGATCACCAGAAAAAAGGGAGAAAAAGATGGTGATGAAATTAACTTCAAAGGGGAAGAAACTCCGGAGAAAAAAATCAACAAGTAGAGAAATGAATTACCGAAGCAAGAGCCGTCCAATTTGAGGACGGAGAGCCTGAGAGGCTCTGAAGGAAGTTTGCGATAGGAAAAACTCTTTCGGGAGAAAACGCCATCGATAACCGTGAGTGGGGAGAACGGCAACGCCAGAGATCGTCGACTTCGGGGGCTCTCCTTTGAAACTCTGAAAGCAAAATCACGCTCTACCAATTTACTGTCGTCCATAGCTCTGAATAACACAAACCTGGGCTCAATATTGTCAGGAACCGACTCAGCCAATAATCTTTTTATATGAGAGAAAACGAAGAGATTCTTGGAGCAGAACAACACGCATTGTGAAAATGAATTTAGGCTATGGCTTCCGAAACCGTAGTGGACCTTCTGTCGGGGGAGATTCCTCATAAGAGAGACAGAGAGATTACTGAGTCTTCGAAGTGAAGACGATCGCGGAGATGACAGTTAGGCTCTTGGGAAACCGTTTCCCGCGCTGTCAACCGACTTGACAACTGTTGGGCCTTCTCCCTCCTTCCCCTAAATATCGGTCTGTATTATTATAATAATAATTATCATTAAAATCGGGAACATGTATCATGTTAAAATGCAATTGTGCGAGAATATGGATCGCACATTCAGAACGTGATTTTAATTTATTTATGCCTTCCTACTTACCACATGATTTCACAGAAATAGATATTTTCGAGATCAGACGTAAACGAAAGGTCTCATTTCTTACTGTCATGGTAGAAATATTTCTCGTTACCATGGGACAGCTTCAAGTTTACCTTTCATCTTTAATTAAAATTAGAAAATTAGAACATGTTTATCGGTTCTCTATACTTTATGAAATTATAACATTTCTTTAAGTTGCCCCCTTTCCAGACATTTGAAGACAGCCAGAAGGAAGGAAGGGATCTCATTTAGAAGGTGAGTATTCTTCCAACACTGGCAAGTGACTAGGATGTGCCATCTGTTCAATTTCCATGAGGATTTTTGCAGATTTTATTTTATTCTAATTTTTTGGTATAGATACTTGGAATTGAAATGGTTACAAACTTACTCGAAGCCTGGTTGAAAAGAAAAGAACAAAAACAAAACCAGTTTTTCATCCAAAGTTGTTCCGCAGTACGCAAAATCTCAATCAAGTTTCATTTTACTTCCTCACTTTCTATTTACAAGTGATTTTACATTTTCATGCCAAGACGATGGACATGGAACTGTCAATACAAAAATATGAATGCACAGCATTCAACTCGTATACAATGGGGCAACGCAGTACTGGATCAATTAGTAAGGCCCAGGCCAATAGTAAAAAGATCCTACACTAATGCCCTAGAAATTAAAATCCATCCAAATAAATCGCGAGGGGGAATTTTTTAAGACAGAAACAACAAGTAAAATAGAACATGTATCAGGCCATGTCATATTGGATTCCATGGCGTAAAGTGGAAAAAAAAAAAACGCATCATTCTCAATCCAATTCAAAAAAAAAAAAAGTATTGCAATAGGGTAAGGTGTCATATTGTTTTTTCAGATGAAAAAGAAATGGCCGGTACATCCTAATTCAAACTCATATCAAGTTTCAGTCATTGACATGCTGATTGATTTTTTTCCCCCAGAATTCAGCCTGATTGATTAGAAACTACAATTCTGCACCATGATACTAAAATCTTGTGAAAACTAATTATAATCCAATTATGGAATTGGTAACTGAACTTCAATAAAAAAAATGAAAAAAGTAATTCATATGTTAAATTTAACATCCAACAGCCATATCACCCACAAAGTCAACTCTTGAGCCTTTAAATTAAAACTCGGTTTCTGAGGACTGCCAATGTCACTTTGAGATAAGCATGTTCTACAGAAACAGAGCACAAAATGACTTGTTTTTCTCAAAATACAACACGAACTAATTTTTTGTTTAGTGAAGCCAAAAGCAGTTTCAAAAAAATCACATCTCTTCACCTTATTCAATGCCCACAAGAAAAACTAGCGCCCTAATGTTTGATCTCTATCTAAACTGCAGAATACTCATAAACAAAAATAAAAATCCTTTAATGCTACATTTGGATACATATGAAATTTGATTTGAATTTAGATTTGAGCCAAATTCCTTATTTGGGCACATAAAAATTTATGAAAATCCAAATTTTATCTCAATTCTTTCATAATTTGAAATTATTTCTAAACACTTGTTATTTTAAATCTCTACATACATCTTCAAAACACTACCTAATAGTAATTATCTTTGTTTTTTAAATTACTCAAACAAAAAATTTTAAATACATGAAATTAAAATGTGAAATTTTAAATTCAAATTTTAAATTCAAATCCATCAATTCAAACACTACTTAATATTATTTAGTTTAACATAAGGGTTTTAGTGATCAGTCTAAATCCCTCTACTTCAAGAGGTGAGAGGAAGGAAAATACATTAAAATTTTCCTCCCCTCCTTTAATTTTTTTTTTTTAACCAAATGAGAGAAGGAAAATACTTCTCTTCGAAATACCTCCAACTAAACATAACAAAATTTAGTCTATGGTACCAATATGTACTATGATATCCACCTAAGTTCCTCATCCTAATAGCCAAGATAAAAGGCGAGCCGCTGCCAAAATAAAAACAAAAAATATAGACGTACACACCATGTTCAGAAATTAACAAGGGTAAGAATCACATGAGCAGTCCTACAGGAAGGCCATGCAGTACAAGGCACATGCAATCGGATCATTTTCAGTGCAAACATGCAATATTAAGAGCATCAGACATGCAACGTCAAAGAACTAGCTGGTGAACAAACCTTAAGACTACCACAGATTGTCTGAGAGAGAGCTGAATTTAGAGTTGTGTTCAGGAAAATACTGTAATTCAAGAAGAAAGCCAGTATGCAGGAAAAAAGCAAAACAACCTGCCAGGCAAAATAAGAACAAGCACACAAAATTATTTTTAAAAGAAAGTTAAAGAGACCTGAGCAATTAACTTGAATAATTGATGCTAAAGAGTGAAGGCGAAAGAAATTGCTTTTCAATGAACTCGAATGGAAAAAAAATTATTTCTTGGATTTTGACCTTCAACCAAGAATGGCTGAATATATACATATAATTCAAGAGTCTGAAGTTCCAACTTGACTTAACAAAAATGAATTATTTATTTGTATTTTTTGACCAACCAAGAATGAAGAAGAACAACATTTGCTAGCACTTAAAGCAATGAAAGATCCAGAAAACTTAGTTTGTGGGAGCAAAATTTGTACATAACATAAATATTAATATTAATGTCATTATTAAATTAATTATAATTCTTATTAAATTATATTAAATTTAAAATTTATTAAAATTAAATGCTATTAAAGAATTATACAGAATATAAAATTATAATAACATAAATTATACTCTCTCCATTAAAAAATATAGGTGTTTTTTACTTTTTAAGGTGTAATTATTGCTTTTTTTCAAAAGTGCCCCTATTAATAATGATTTTATGTTTATTATAGGGTGTTTAATTGGAATAAATATGAAAAAAATAGGGTTAGTTTGAAAGTAAATAACTACTTCATTAGATGGTAAGATTCAATTAAAAATATCTTACATTTTAGAACGCAGAGAGTATCTATTATAATTCTGCTTTTTATTTAAATTAATAAAACTTAAGTCTCTTGTGTTTTGACCAATAAAAGTGAGTTCAATTCATAAGAACTTAATTTATATTCCTTTAAGATTTGTCTCATCTAAACTTTTCTGTGCCAACAAGATTTAACTCTTTTATATGATATACTTTTTTATGATAAAATTTTCAATTTAAACATACAATAAGAAAAAAATTATTTTTTTAAACTATTACTCCTTTCTTTTTAAAATTTTTATTTAAGATTAAAACTCATAAATAAGATCTTGGCAAAATAAACTTTTTAAAAAATTTGTGAAATTTTTTATGGGATCACACGAATTTTTTTTTTCCTTTTTTGAGGCGGCAGGGGCAGGGGCAGCTAAAATTTTTGAATACAGACAAATAAAATATTTAAAATCACGATTTGTATTTTTGTTGGGCTTGTGAGGGTAATTGCCTCCTCTATATTACAAGTATGGATCTGTCCCTGCACTCAAGGCAGAACATGGAGAAAAAATACAAATTGTCACCTTCAAGTCACCCTGAACTAGTGTCAGGATCAGCAGAACTGGTCCACACATGATACCTATAACAAAGTAGAAAACATTTCAAATCAAATCAGATTAAAAAAAAAAAAAAGATGAACCACATGTTCAAATTTCAATAGTGCCAAAACACGATTAGAGAGTTCAAAGGCTAATGGATAAAATCTATTAACTTACTGTTACACCACATGAGGCCAAAACTATTAAGCCCACTGGTTTTTCCTCAGAGAAGGATATAATAAATATAACTGTCAGGCTGAAAAAAAGGGAACAAGGTGTAGAAGTTGGACATTATAAGAGAGTGCGGGTATTGAATACGACCAACACGGGCAATGGTAGCAAGATATGTCGCTGTGCTGATGTTTGCCATGAAAACAATCGAATAGCCATAAGCATCAAATGACAAGTCTCTCACTCCCGCAACTAGAGCACCAAAACCAATCAAGCCAACACTGACAACAACCTTATAAATTTCAGTTGGATGAAGGAATCAGGAATATGTTCATTCAAGCAACAATTTTAAGTTTGATGTTAAAAGGGAAAAAGGGGAATAAATAATAAACAGTTCAATGGACTTTGTTTGAAAATAATCTAAGGAAACCCAATTCACCACCTGGAGGATGCATGTACAAGATTCACTGCAGAACTCATACGAAGCTCATAATTAATTTTTCCCATCTCTCACTATATCAACAATGTAGAAATTCAGTGCTTTATTTTCTCGTAACTTATTGAATACCACCAACATACATTTATCAAAGATAGGAGTAGGAGAGAGAACCAAATTCTCAAGCAACTAGGTAAAAACACCTATTTAAACAAAATAAAATGACTGAATACTCTCTCTGTTTAAATCAAATTGACCTCCCAATAACATAGTAATTTATCTTTAAATTAACTCTATCTTTTTATATTTACTCTTATTTAATAGGATATTTTGCCCTAAAATAAATATAAAGTAATTCATTCAATAAAAATACTTTAAAAAAAAAAAAAAATGATTATATCTTGAAAGATTAAAAATACATTATATTTTTTAACATCTAACCTTTTAAAAAATATTTTATATTTTTTAACAGAGAAAGTAAAACATAAGTGTCGCACCCGGAAAAATGCGACGCGGACGGCGCGCGAGCGAAGGTCCCGGCCTTCACGGCGGGAACCAGATCGAACGAGGAGTCGCCACCAAGATTTTGAGAGAAATCTCGGGAAACCGATTAAAAGGAGGATAAGGATGATCTGCGTAATCAGAGAATAGGTTCGGGAGTCGGTTGAGTGTGGGGAAGGTGTTAGGCACCCCACAACACCCGTTCGTCAAACGGTTACCTGAAGTTTGCTGTGCTCTATTAATATAGTTTTATAATTATTTTAATTATCCCTCTTGTATTTATGTGTTTGATAAAAATGATAAGAATTAGGTGAAAATATTTATTTATTTACAAGGAGGACGACTTGACTCAGAATCTGACTCTGAGGCCTACGTACCCTGTGATGGGGATCAAAGTCCACGTAGTTCGGGCTTAAGAGTTTGTCGGTAAAAATATTTTTTGAAGAGAAATTAATTAGAAATAACTCACCATTTTGCAAATAAAACAATTTCTGAAATTTTGATATGTGTGTTTTAAATTGCAAAAGGTAATTTAATTTTAATTATTTTCTCAATTTTTGAATTTTGAGTTAAAGAAAAGGAAATGGTTTAAAATCATTTTTTTTATCTCTTATGATTGGGAATTTTAATTGCAATAACTACAGAACCTTATTGTTCATGCGGTAATGCAATTGCTCTAAATATCTGCGGAGATTCTGAAATCTCACATGATAGAAGAGTTCGGCAATTTAATTTATTTATTTATATTCTTATGTACATTTTGAGTATTAAAAATGTATTTTAAGTATGTATATACATGTTTTGAAGAATTTTAATCATCATACCTGCAAAGCCTTATTGACTTATGCGGTAATATGATTATCCTAAATATCTACGGAGATTCTAAAATCTCACACGATACAGGAATTAAATTTAATTAATTGATTTAATTAATTATATAATATATATATATATATATTTTAAAAACTAAATCGTTATATCTGCAGAGTCTTATTGACTCACACGATAATACGATGATCTTAGAAGCCTACGGAGATTCAAAAATCTCACATGACTAAAAGATATAATTGATAAATATGGTTACAATTTAAATATATTAATTTGGTTAATTAAGTTTCTTAAATTGTATACTATATGATTATTTACAAAAATTATTTATTTATTATAAAAAATGGATGATCACTATATCTGCGAGGATTTATTATCCCACACGATAATATGATTAATTCAAGTCCCTACAAAGATTCTCGTAATCTTACACGGAACTTAAATGGATTATTTAGATTATAAAAAGACAGTTGGTTTTAACGGTTGGTCATTGAAACCATTGATTGTACATATAAATTGGATCTCTATACCTGCAAAATCTTATTGATTTACACGGTATAAGATCACTTTAAATGCCTGCGAAAATTCTTAAAATCTCACACGGCAAGTTAATAAAATACAAGAAACCTTCTCTTATTCATTTGTTTTTTTTTAGATGAGAATTGAATTCTCTCCTCTTAATCTTTTATACAATTGTACATGTGGATAGAAAGTGTCATATGGTATGAGTGTAACAATATTATTGACAAGTAAAGGACCTTAAATTAATGGAGATAAAAAAAATAATGCTCATACATGTTAATATACACATTTAAAGACCTCGCTTAATAATTATACTAATTCTGTATTTGAAATGAAATTGTGCCTAATAATCAAATTTAGCTTAGCTATGATAGGAAACAAAAATTATCATCTGCAATTTCTCTATTATTTCTTTTTCAAACCCTCTTTTCTTAAAAAAAAATATGACAATTGCAATGAAATCACTTGGGAGCTGAAAAATATGAGACAAAACATTTAAACATGAAATCCATTTTGGAATAGTAAACAGAAATTAAACACGTATATTTTGGATTCAGAAGCAAGAACCTGCGCGTATGGGACGTCCAGATCTGTCTCAGCCTCTTCTTTCTCCTCTCCGTTTCTGTTTCTTCTTTCTCCTCTCCGCCTCTTCTCTTCTTTTCCTTTCGTGCTCTGTTTTCTGTTTCTTCCGTACGTACGTTTCTCCTTCCTTTCTCCAGCCAAAAAACGCACTCCTCTTCTTCGTTTCCTCTACTTTGTTCCAGCCGGAATAGCCTTTCTCCCTCAGCCTCTGTTTCACCTCTCTCCGTCTTTATCCTTTTTCGTTCAGCTTCTGGCCTCCCTCGTTTCCTTCTCAGCTTTTCCGGAAAGAAAAGCTCCTCCGCCACGTCCTCTGTTTCACGTCTTCCGGTCCTCTCTCTCCTCTGTATATTTTTTACGTTGCTTCCCCCTCCTTCTCGGTCACTCTTCTCTTCTCTTCTCCTTCGTTTTTTTGTGCTCTGTTTTCTGTTTCTTCTGTCTATCTGTTTCTCTCTTCCTTTCTTTCAGTCCAAAAAAACCGTCCCTCCCTCTGTTTTTCATTCAGTCTTATATAGGGGATGGAAGAGGTGAATCATTGCTTTCCTGCTCCGCTTTTCCTTTCTGCTGTGTTTTCTGTGTGCGCCAAAGTCTGCTCTGTTTTTCTGCGTTTCTGTCTCTATTTTCTGTGCTGTCCCGTCTGCTTTCTCTGCTGTGCCATTTCCTTCATGCATGCATGCGTCCTTAGTTCTGTTTCTTTTCTCCTGCCAGCCGAAAGTATATGCGTACGTGTTCCGGTTGCTTACTATTCTTTATGCTCTGTTTTGCTTCTTCTGCGTTTCATGTCTGTTTTCTGCTGTTTCTTTCAGCGTCTGCAGCTCGTGCGTTCTGTTGTTTCTGTCCTTTTTCCTGCTACATGGCCGAAAGTGTATGCTTATTTTATTTCTGCGTCTCTGTGCCTGTGTTTCTTCGCTGTTTCTGCATTTCTTTGCTGTTTTTGCATTTTGTGTCTCTGCATTTCATGTCTCTTTTCTGCTGTTTTCTTCTTTTTTGCACACATGGCCGAAAGAGTATATGTGTGCGTGTGTTCTGATGCTCTCTTCCTTTTTTTTTTAGCCATTCTTTAATGCTCTTTTTTTTTTGTTAATTAGATTGAGGGAGAGAAAGAAAAGTTTACATATTTTTTAAATGGAAAAAATTTAAGGAGAGAAATTTAAAAAAAAAGTTGAGTCTCAAAAAAAATTGATTCCCAATATCTTTGAATGGTTGGGATAATTTGAGAGAGATTTTTTTTAAAAAAAAATTGAGCAAGATTTTTTTTTGAAAATATAATCCTAAAAGGATCAAATTTCATTTTTATATTTTTTATATTTTTTTTGTTTTTTTATTATTAAAATTTAAAAAAAATGCCCGGATAAAATACGGTGTTCACAATAAGGGGTAAAACCAAACTGAGACAGCTGGGGGACTATAAAGAAAACAATTTATTAAACAAATAAAAGCAATCTAAACATATTAATCACACGATGCATGCCCATAACAAGTGATGTAAAGGCCCAATGAACCTGACATTGCAACCATGCATAACGTGACCAATTACTCTCGCAATTATAATGAAGTTCATTTTGTTATACATCTCAAATACTTAATCAAAAGTTCAGATATTTAATCATGAAAGCATTTACCTGAAAATGACATACGATGAATATCTCTGCCCAACAAGAAAAAACTCAACAATCATAGCAAATACCACTGTTGTCCTCCTAAGGGTGGTGTACATTGGAACATTTACTCCGTGAACAGACGCCATGATGACTAGCTTTCAAGGAGAAATGCAAGAATGGGGAAAAAAAATCATTAAAATAAATGACAAGAGAAAACCAATGATGACTAGGAATTTATCCTTTAAAAAAATATGTTCCCGATAGGGGCAGGGTGTGCATCAAAGTCTTCAGTGATACAAATTTTGTTGAGTTGCCATATAAAATCAAGGAATCACCTGTTGTGACAGAGATTATCTTCCACCTCCTCAATATATACAAAAAAGAACAAGAACATACGATCTGCAGCAGAAAGAAACAGATAGTCATGTCTAAATTTGAGATAAATTAAATAGGTTTTGAGAACAATCAGAATGGTATAAGCTGCAACTCCAGTGGGGGCAACACAGGCATACATACTGCAGAGATGCCAGGAGAATTTAGATTCAATAACATTTCCTTCTGCCCATTCACCGAGGCACGAAAGTGTATGAGAAACTTTTATATTGGAGAAGGTAATCAATAAATCACAAGCACATAGGGAGTTCTTCACAGCCAAAGATTTTAAGATGTTCCTGTTTTTGCTCTCTCTACTGAGAGCGGTCAAATATAGAAGACCTTTTGTTCACAACTTCAAAACCTCTAATATAACAAATTTGCAACTTGTATAATCTTGGCTTGATCAGGGCACCATTATTATTATTATTATTTATTTTAAAATGATATAATTAAACTAAAATTATTCTAAAAATATCAAACTCAAGAGCCATGAACTGCCAAAGAAAATTAAAATGCATTCATATAAAGGATAATGAAATACAAAGCAACTATCTTTCTAAGGATCAACCTGAAGAAATGTGATGACATTTGCATATGGGAAGTGGTAAGATGAAAGAGCTGCCTTATTTGAACATCAACAACAACACTACAAATCAAGAAAACAAATGAATGAGTAACTGATGACAAGGGAAAGGGAGAAAAAAAGCAGTTTTCATCTCCTAAGCGTTAAGTCGCGCATGACAGGCACGATACATGTTGAGAGAGATTTGTAAAACTAATAATAAGGCTAGCATAAAGGAAGTCGGCTGCTTAATGAAACCAGTCAACTAGAATCTAACAAAGGTGAAGGATTCACTTCTAAAAGGCACCAATGGTGGAATAAGAGGAACGAGTTTGTTCTACAACTTTTATATAGAAAGTAGACTGTTCATCTTCCAAAAAGCAAAGTTGGCCATGATGATTGATTAGTCTAACCATCGGACTGGTCAAAATGGTAACTCCAGAAACTTCAATAATTCTTTTAAAGTTATTGGTTATGTCGCTCAAACTACAAATGCTTGTATGCTTGTGTTCTTTCATGTGAACAGTCAAATATCTAAGGAGAAGTGGCAATGATGATTTGCATCGATATAAAAGAGAGATTGAAAAGCTAGACCCAAAGAGACACTCGAAAACAAGATAATGGGGACAAAATGGATAAAAGACTAACACATGAAAGGCATCTTCCTTCAGGTTAAAAAAAACAAAGGAAAGAAAAGGTATTTTCCTTAATTGGAGAATTACTTTAGGCAAGGACCATATTTACTACAGGTAGATGTACAATTGTTTAAATAGTAAAGTTTGTAAAAAGAGAATAAGAGATACAGTAAAATTAGGTGAATAAAAATGAAAATTGGACAAGAAATAAAGACGCACCTGCTCATGACATGTGAGAGAGTAGCGGAGTGTCACAATCTTGGAACTCCCTAATCCTTAAACCGTGCCGGCCTTAGCGTGATCAACCTCTTGATCTTTGCTAAGTCAGCGACACCCTCAGGATGTAAGTAAAGAAACTAGGAAACTTGAACACAAGAGAGAAGAGAGCTTGGATGAGAGAACTTGAGAGCTTAGAACTTTGATTATTTTCCTTGTTGTTTACAAATGAGGGGTTGTGGAGGTATTTATAGGCCTCCCCCTTTCTCTAGAAAATTCCTACCTCCTTAATGAACGGTGAAGATCAATCTAATCCTACGATTTACATTCATCCTCTAGAGTATTTCATGAAAATATCTACAATAAATATCTAAATATTTACAAGGATATTTCTGGACTAATATTTAAGATATGTGTGAAATGTTCTAGAACATTCTAAAATATCCTAGAATATTCTAAACGTCTCCACATTCCTCTCTAAATTTCTAAAATCTTTTAGAAACTTTTAAATTTCTTTAGATTATTTTAGATTGTTTTAGATGCTTCTAGAACATTCTAAAACATAATAGATTCTTTTTGAACATCCTGAATTTTCTTGAAAATCTCTACATCATCTTGGACGTCTCCAAAAGCATCATATCCTTATGGTTTCTTCTCTTTTTGAAGAGAGGTTATGACAGGAGGCTCTAAGTCTAGTGATGGCAGACCCTTTAAAGAGCTTCTCATCAACTAGGAAAAGTGCCTTTCCATCTTGGTCCTTTAGAGTATCCAATAGAAGCAATGTTAGATTCTTCGACGAAGTGGACGGTCTTGGAGGCATTTCCCAATGCTTTCTATACGGAAGATTTTTTCTTTGTGTGTGTGTCTTTTTTTTTTAGGTTTTGGGGGAGGGAATAAGGCCCTATCTTGCCTTGATTATTGTTGGGAAATGAAAATGGAGAAGGAGATGATGTGATTTAGAGGAAAATTCTACCTTAACGAGGGCAAAACGTACCTCGTCATAAACTCAGAGGCGAGCCATGACTTGGAAGCTTGACTTCGCTCGAAAGTCGTAACTCTTCCTGCTTAAATTAAATAAACCAAAAGCCAGACCAGAAATGTTCTTTCTAACTTGGCTGATCGAACATGTGATACTACTTTTTATTTTTAGTTTAATATTTTTTTTAAAGAATGACAACTAAGTCGGAGAAAAATTAATTTATTCAACCTAAATTTCAAACAATTTTAAAATACCAAACAAATATTTTGATCCTTAATGATTTTATTCTAATAGATGCATGGATAAGTGACTTTGTATTTAAATTTTATGACTTTGTTATAATAAATTTATAACTTATTTTTCCAAATTTAACAAAAAAAATAATTTGCAAATTTAGCTTTCAGTTTTATAGGATAAATTTGTAACTTATTTTTTGACTTTTAAGAGGGAAGTAGATGTTAATGTTTAAAGTTGAAAAGTAACAAAATCACTCTTCTAATAACTCTAGAGATTTGTAAGTTTGATTCTTAATTTTGTAATTTAAAATTAATAAATTTACAATTTATTTCTAAATTTTAAGCAAATAACACATATGCTAATGTTTAAAGTTGGGAAAAAACAAGGTCATCATTCTAACAGTTATAGGGATTTACAAGTTCAACTTCTAATTTTACAGCTTCGAATTGATAAATTTATAACTTGTTTTTCAAATTTTAAGGGAGGATACAAATGTTAATAATTAAAGTTGAAAAGTAATAAAGTTATTGTCCTAATAGTTTTAGAGAGTTGCAAGTTTGGCTCTTGATTTTGTAACTTTGAATTGATTGAATTGATGAATTTATAACTTATTTTTTAAATTTTAATCAAATTTTATCAAAAACAAATACATGGGATTTTACTGGTATTCCAAAATTGGTTGGGAATTTGAAATTTTTTTAAAGATTATATTTATTTCCTAAATATTTTAACCCACAATGAAATGAGTTGAAAAAGATTGGAAGGATAAAAATATATATGAAGATATGTAAAAATTGAAATGATAAAAAAATTGTAATGAGTCCATAAAGCATCTGTAACATCCCAATTTGAATTCAAGGGCTAGATTAATTAATTAAGAGATTTAATTAGTTAATTATGATAATTAAAAGTTAAGTATAGAGTTTGGATAGCTATTTATGTTTAATGGATACTTTAATGGGTTTAGAATAGGGCCTCAAGAGTTATTGAGTCATCTTATGCTTGGATTTTGAGCTTAAGTAAGGCTGCTCATTTTGGGCCATTCGACATGGCAGATGATGCAGTTCGTCGTGACAGATGCATTAAATTTTAAAATCAAAGAGGTATAGTCAATTTTCATCTCAGAATAAATTTTTGAGTTCCCTTCAATAGAGGATGAGGAGGGCTCTATTAAAGCTTGTCTTGGGGTCATTTAGAGCTTGTGTAAGGCTAGTCATACATTAAGTAAGCTTCATACCCTCTTCTTCTTGTTCATTCTTTAAGTTTCTGGCTTTAAAAGGGGCTGTCTAAAATGACAGCCAAGTTGGGATATCTAAATGGCTTCAACAAAGCCTATGGGTTATCTTAAATAGCTTTAATTAATGGGTTACAGTGGTTTATAGCATTAAATGTAATTAATGAGAGATTTAGAGTTAACCTAAATTTTAAATAATTAAGTTTAAACTAACAAGGATAGCTAGCAATGAGTATTAACCTTGTCGAGAGCTAAATAAACTAACGGAAATTAGGTGTGGGGTTAGTTAGGCTTAATCATGCCTAATGATGGGTTTAGGCTTTAATTAAGGGTTAATTAATGACGATTAGTGGTTAATGCTATTTTATGGCATTATTTGTAAAGCACAATGTGCTGGAGCTCACATTGGTGGATTGATGGGAAGCTTTCTCAAAAATTCAAAGTTACACTCTTGGGATGGTAAGCCTAAAAGTTAAGGTAATGAAGAATTTTAGTTATTGTACATCATAGTGTCTATAACTATAATTTTTATACTGTGTTATCATTGGCTTGAAATGGGTAACATGGTCTTGTTGATTAATATATTGACTTTGAGTTAATGTTATATAGTAAACATGTACACTAGTGATAAAGATGCTTTATGGCTATATATATGTGGACGCTTTATAGTAGTGAGATATGATGTATTATATGCTTGGATTGGTTATGCATTGCTAACATGGATATGATGAAATATGGTAATTATGTGGTTGTATGAATTACAATAACACATAAGTTCTATTGATAATGAATATGTTGAGTTACCGTATTATGCATGAGTATGTATTTATATGTGTTGACTAAACTTGCATGATCAATGTTTCTGTTTTAGTTATTTTTGAAAGAAAAGTAATCATTACTTAAATTAAGTAGTTATGGTTATTTACAACACTTGAGTCAAAAATTTGCATAGAGGAACTTGTAATTACTTATTTCATTTTAGTCATTGCTAGAAGAAAAATAGTTATTACTTAAACTACAGTAGTTATGAATATTTACAAGATTTAGACTATAGTGAATAAAAAATTTACTCAAAAAAATTATAACTACTTGTTCTATTTTAGTTATTACTAAAAAAGTAGTCATTGTTTAAACTAAAATAGTCACTGATATTTATAATATTTGAACTTCAATGAATCAAAAATTTGCACAAGTAAAGTTATAATTGCTTATTTATTTTAGTCATTGTCAGAAAAAAGTAGTTATTATTTAAACTAAAGTAGTCACTGATATTTATTTTTTGGGTTAGATCTATTACTTTTTTAATTTTAAATTAGGGGGTATTTTACTCATGTCACTAAAAATCATTAATGTTAGAAAAGTCTCTAGAAACATGAGAAGAATTATAACATTTCGCGAGATTTCATTGTCATTGCATATTTTAAGGGGATTTGTTTGTTGTTTTCTCTCTTTTTTATATTATAAGATACTTTCTCTGTTAAAAAATGTAAAACATTTTTTGAGGAGTTGGATGTTAAAAATGTAAGGTATTTTTAGTCTTTCGAAATATAATAATTTTTTTTCAAAAGTATCCCTATTGATAATAATTTTATATTTATTATAGTGTGGGATTCAGTTAAAAGTACATTATATTTTTCAATAGAGAGAGTAATTTTTTTAAGTTTCTTGAATTATTTTCCTAGTTTTTTAGTATGCCAAAATAATGGTGAATGGTAAGTATAAGCAAGAAGGTGAATAAAAATTTATGAAAGTAAATTAAATTAAAACAAACCATTAAAAAGACTAAAATGATACTCCTTTCATTTATTGTCATAAGGCAAATCTTTCAAGGTTTATGTTTAAATATTTTTTAAAATCTTAAATATAATTAATTTGTTTATCTCCTTTGACATGAAATCATCATGTATTTTTACATAATGACAATTGAACTTTGACCTGGTCAAAAGTTACATTTAACCGGGTGATTATAAAGGCGGATGATGCAGTTTGCCGTGACAGATGCATTAAATTTTAAAATCAAAGAGGTGTAGTCAATTTTCATTTTAGAATAAATTTTTAAGTTCCCTTCAATAGAGGACGAGGAGGGCTCTATTAAAGCTTGTCTTGGGGTCATTTAGAGCTTGTATAAGGCTAGTCATACATTAAGTAAGCTTTATACTCTCTTCTTCTTGTTCATTCTTTTGAGTTTCTGGCTTTAGAAGGTTATGATTAAGTTTAGTGATATTCATGCAAAGGAATATGAGTGGTTAAGATGGAATTTGTCTCTCATATTAGTTGAGAAATATTACTGGGCTCCTTGATAAGTAAAATTGAGAAAATATATGGTCATACTATAATGAAAAAGTTTTTTTCATTCTTATGTCAGTCCACTTAGAGATCGAGGAAGTAATGGTTAGGTAAAAAAATGATAATTTCATATTTCATACTTGACCGAAATATTGCTTGATAAAAGGGATATGATACGATTATATGATAGGTTGCATCGGATTAACAATTCCTATATGAATTGGGTAGTTGCAATGCCTTGCTAGAGGCCACTTGTGACTTGTGAGCTAATAACATAATTAGCCTATTGCCAATTTCATATTGACCTAAAGGGTCGCACACAAAAATAACCCAACTTAAACTATAATGTCCAAGTTTATTGAATCTAAAATATATTTAGATTCAATGAATGTAATATAAAGTAAATGAAATATATATATATATATATATAATTATTTAAATATATATATACACATATATGCATATTTTCGTGTGTACGTATATGTATAATATAACATGCATATAATATATATATTATATTATATTATATTATATTATATTATATTATGTTATATTATATTGTGTTAGTTTTAAATTTAATTTTATGTTATAGATTAAATTTAATAACTAACATGATATGAGAGAATATCATGTCAGTTTTATAATTTAAATTTATAAGATAAATTTGAATTAGATATGATATCATAGATTAAATTTATGAGATAAATTTAATTAATTTTTTGTTGGTTCATTAAAGGAAGACACAAAAAAAACCCTAATCTATATAAATGATGTAGGATGGGGCATGCTCATGAGTGAGAGTTAGAAAAGTCCTGACAGCAAAACACATTGAGAGTCACATAAACACCCTAGAGAAAAGTAGTTCAATATTTTGAGAAAACAAACAGACATTTTTAAAGCGCTAGCATACCATTTAAGCTGGAGAATTGTTCTTGTGAATATCGATAGAGGAAGCAGATCGACTTTGTCAGCTCCTGAGATCCAATTTCTTGAAGAGAACGCACGTGAAGCACAAAATAAAAAGGTAACTCTTTTTCTCACTTTAATTTAAATGAGTTCGTTCGGTCTACATTGGGATAGAAAATAATCTACTCCACAAGAGTTATCTTTCCTATACGTAAAACTTGATTTTTTTTAGAACTAGATTAAGTAAATAAGAAAAAATATGCTTTCCAAGAGCCCATTCTATTGGTTGTGATGGAGCTTACAAGGAATCTATAAAACCCACTAAATAAACCCAATATTTAAGAGATTAGAGGAGTGCGTGGACAAAGAGCCAAACCAAATAGTTCTAATGTAAGGGCAATCACAAAAAATTTGGTTGAGAAACTGTCGTGTCCAAAGACACATTGCAAATTAGAGTTGAGAAGATGTTAATTTCTGTAAGATATCCCCTGTAGGAATAGCTTGATGTACAAGTTTCCAGATGAAGATGAGTGTCTTAAATGGAAGGTGAAGCTTCCAAATGAAGTTCCATATGCTTTCTTTAGATAGGGCACTAACTTGAGTTGAGATAGATACTCTTTGAAAACCTTCCTTGATGATATTAACACCTTGTCCCCATATAAGAGAGTCTTTCAATTTGATAAAAGAAATAAGAGTCTTCATGATCAAATTAGCAACATCCCTAGTATAAAGGTTGTGAATGAGAGAAGAATTTCATTTAGCCGCTAAGGGGATTGGTTGGCGATGATTAAGTCAGAGATAGCTAGATTCCTATTATTAAGCTTCCACTAACACTCGTGAGAGAGAGAGAGAGAGAGAGAGAGAGAGAGATTCTCCATTACCAACATGCCAAGATAAATGCTTCTTGATAAGATCAGATGCTTCAAAGATACCCTCCCAAAACCAAGAGGCATTGTGAAGAATTTTGTACAATGACCCCTTAGAATTATCAAAATATTTGAGTTTGATTGTGTTTCTTAAAAAAAATGCTTATTAACATTAAACACACTCCAAATCTGTTTGGTCAAAAGAGCCAAATTTATGTTTTTAGTATTCCTTAAACCTAAGCCACCCTTGTTGGTGGGTGAAAAAAGAATTTCTTTTTTAACAAGATAAACGTTTCTCTTATCATCATTATACCCCTAGAAGAAATCAGTGAATTTTGCATCAATGATATCACAAAGATAATTAGGAAGTCTAACATACGAGAAAGTGTAGATATTAGATGCATAGATGATTGATTTGATAAGAGTCAATCTAAAAGCTTGAGAAAGCAATTTCAATTTCTAAGAAGCAATTCTTTTATCAACAGATTCCATGACTTAGGAAAAAAATTAAAGATTTATCACATTTAGCATCAATCTAAGTACCCAAATATTAATTTGTCTATCTCCTCCCGGTGAATGAAAAAAATTAGTTGACCCCAATTAATTTAGGTTATACCTATTAAAAAAGGCAACTATATTCAATAAATAGCTTACATTGAAAATAATAAAATATTTTGGAGACGTTAACCATGTGATTGCATTGATTTGTACGATTTAATTAAAAATGGTATGGAAGTGAGTAATTAGTCAGCAATAAATGTATGAATGTAGAAGTAGTTGTATTCCTTATCTTGTCAGTGAAAATTGACTACATTTTCACGCGATAATAAGAAAAGCGAGACGATGCAAAATTTGTGCCAGATTACTTAGACAACACGAAATGCAAATGCTGAAAACGGCCTTCGCTTGTCCCCTAAGAAGAATTAGCATCTTTTTGGCCTGTTACGAGAAATTAAGGAAAGAAAATAATCATGCTTTGAACACAATAATTACAGTCTGAATAGAAGAGTCGTATTCTCTGGACATCTAGACAATGAATGGAACTTTCAATTCCTACTTTTTCTCGTGCTGTTTTCACATTGCCAGACTGCATATCAAAAAGCTACCATGCCCAGCTAAGGAAGCACTTGGATGCTTCAAATTCGCACCACAAGCTTCGTAATTTTGAAAGCTAGCTGAAGATATACAACCCCACAGATGAACGAGACATTAAGACGTGTCAAGTGGGAAACAAATTTCTGTTTAACTCCATGTGAAACGGAGCCTCTCCCTGAGTGGGGTAATTAAGCACAGGGATATGGACATATGGTTGGTTGGATTGATAAGGATGTATATCAAGGCATGAATTGGACAAGCGCTTTGAACAAAATGGGGCCGAGTGTTATCTTATCTTCATCATCAAAGCCGAGTAAGTCTCTTTTTAGTTTTTACTCTCACGGGTGCTTCGATGGTGCATATCGCTTCTTCCCCTTGAGTGGGGCCCGTCATCATTCTTGATGGCAGGAAAAAAATTGTCTCCCTTCCATTTCTTTCGGCTATTGAAAATTGATCGTGGCGTCTTGGTAATCCCATCAAGTATTTTGAAGAGTAGAATCGGGTTTGAATTTTTCACCCACTCGTGCCCCCAAAGTGTTTGATGAAGTGTGCGTGTGCGTGTGAGTTGTACGGGTATGGCTGCAGTAATGTATGTCAATTATAGGGCTAGCATTGAAGTAGACCAAGTGTACGTCATGGGTCCTACTAGTCGAGTTTACAACCTCCATCGCACGAACGTGACACAGCTGCGAGAGCGGGCAGATTAGACCCTTCATATAAATGGCCAGGATTCTGAAACACAGTGGCTGTGCAGGTTCAGCCAATGGCATAATATGCCCATTTGCGTCATCACGTGGACTTCACATGCCTTGGACCATCTGCCTTGTGCTGTCTGGGTAAGTGGGTAGTATGGAACACGTACCTAATATGTAAGATATGCTCGTGGTTGTTTTGTTTAGCACGCCTCACTTTCTATCCTCCCCCATTAAGTTCCCCTGTCTATGGAGAACAAGGGAATCTGAACCGAAGCCGACAGATAGAATCCATATATACATGTGTGTGTGTGTGTGTGTGTGTTTTTATGAACATAAGAATCCATATATTTTAATTGGGTCAAGCAGGGAACTGGGGGATTTAGTGTCACTATTTTTATAATCAAGAAGATGGGAGCTTTTCTTTTAAAATTTTACATCATTGGATTATATGAGTCGGTTCTAAAATCATGATATGGGTGACGGGTAACTTCCGACAATTTAGACATACTAGCTAACAAAACCAACAGGTGCATGAACTAGTTACTATTTTTTTTTTTCTTTTTGGGAGGGGGGGGTTTGGAGGCTCTTGATGATTAACTAGCAAAGAGCGGGTTCATTACAAATACAAGTACTCCGATGATCAGGGAGAGCATCACTTGTTTGCCGCTCGACTGCTTGATGAGAGTTCATGATGATTTGAACAGTAAGCGATGACACACAGGTTTGACATCTGTCCTTGATATTAGTGTGGGGCTATAAAGGGGTTGTGGGGAAAAGTAAAGGAAATAAATGATTAAGTGCACACACAAGTTGTGCAATTTGGGATGCTCATATCTTTATATATGCTAATCTTCCTGTCTTTTTTTATCATTTTATGGGTAAAAGGTTGTCATATACTTAGAAGTATTATTAGATTCTTGCTTCACTTAATGAACCCAACCCCCAATGTCTTTTCGGAATGATCCCCTTCACCAAATTATAGTGTTAATGAATATGACAATTCCTTGGAATAATAAACTATCATACACGACGGAGAAAGAGGGAAAGGCTAGAGAGGGAGAGGATATGTAAGTGGGGACGTAGAGGCCTGAAAATTGAGACCAATGAAAGAAGGCGGGCAAAGTGGCTATGGCACGTTGGTGCATCCATTCCTCAGCTAGTTTATAATTCTGCCGCTCTTTTAGCCGACCCAACTTTCATGCTGTCCCTAACCATCCACATTCCACAAGACAATAGTCCTTTTCATTCTCTCCCTCGCGCTACACATGCACACACACACACACACACACACAGCTGTGATTTCCGAAGAATAATCCATTCACTTTGAGCTACTTGTTTTTCTAGCTTAAAATATTGCCCTATATATATTCATACTCTTTTCGTTCGTTATACTAGCTTGTTAGTTGTTAGGCCACATGGAGCTTCAGTTAGGTCTGGCTCTCCCAGCTCAGAATCCTAGCGAGGAATTCAACCTATCCAACTATGGCTTACCCAGTTTCTGTGTTGAAAGCCACAAACATGTGAAAAACAAGCGTAGCTTTGAAGAGTCCCTTGGACTTTCTTCGAAAAATCTGCCTTTGTTGGTATGGAATGGCCAGCCAAACGAGGAAGATGACCGTGGTGGGAAGAAAAACAGAAACACTTATCCAGAAAACGAGTAAGTTGTTTTGTCAATTCCACGTGCTATTTGCTTCTCTCTCTCCGTCCGTTAGCAAATAACTTGGAGGACCAATTTGATGATGAGTCCAGTGAACATGATTAATCTACTTAATTTCAAGAACAACTTAAAGAACACGTGTTTTGCTTTTGTGTTGCTTAATTACAGGAATAACGAAGAAGAAAACCTTTTAGTGGGATGGCCGCCCATTAAGTCATGGAGGAAGAAGAAAATCCATCAGCAACACCAAAGAGTCCCGATCAGGAACGATAGGGTTCTAGGTGAGAATGGAAATAGAGGATCAAACTCCTTATTTGTTAAGGTTAAGATGGAAGGAGTAGCAATAGGACGGAAGATCAATTTGAGGCCTTACAGTTCTTATGAGACTCTTACAAATACGTTAATGAGCATGTTTGATAAATGTAAGTAACAGTTACTATGTTCCTTTGTGATTATGTGTGAGGTCTGGTGGATTTGATCTTTGCTTTGCTTTGGTTTCTACATGTTAATTGCGCAGACCAGAAACCTAAGGAAGATAAGGCAAGTTACACACTCAAGTATCAAGACAAAGAAGGTGACTGGCTGGTTGCTGGTGATGTTCCCTGGCAGTATGTGTTGATCTTATCCCGTCTTTTTCCATTGACTTCTTTGGATCACACCAGCTAGAAGAATCACTATGATGAAAGAAAGTTGTTATTAGGAAGAGAAATGGCAAACGATTCCAAAGAAATTTAATATTTTATAATCGATGGTTTTGCAGATCATTCATTGATTCCGTGAAGCGCTTGGAGATAGTAAGGAGTGGCGTTGAAGAAGCCACTCTTGGCAGCAAATAGATTGAACTTTAATATGCTGATCTTTATGTGCTACTTTTAGGCCGAAGCTTGCTCGTATCAGTTGCAGAGAGAGCAAAGTTATATGTACACATGAATGCATATCTGTACAGGGTTAACAAGGGAAAATCTTAAGGCAGTTAGATTTTCATGATCAAACAAGCAAAGGATCGGGAGGAGGGTATTATTTCTTCCGAGTTGTATGCATTTCAATCCACATCAGGTTGAAGGCAGCGTGTCCAGTAGAAATTTTTTTGCAATATGTTCATTATGTTCGGTTTTATGAATTGATTATGTGTCCTAAAATTGATGGCTCCAACTGGTTTCAATGAGTGATCATCATCATTCTATGCAGCAAGTAATTTTGACACCGAGAATCACAATTTTTTTTTTGTTTAATTAATTAAAAGGAAACCATCTAATACGTACTGGTGGCAATGATCTATAGTACTCTTTCACACACACTCCCCCCCTCCCCCACTTTTTTCTCTCATACATTTCTCTTTGATATGGTGATAGAATTACAACTGAATCCATCACTGTTCTGTTTTATGTTAAAAAAGGCTCATGTATTCGGGAGTTATTATCTATTGTTTCAAGTTACTTTTACTTCCATTTTTATCTACAATCGCGGATTCAATAATTTAATATTTATAATAGGCCTTTTTTTTTCCGGCAATATTTATAATAGTTCTATCTACTACGTATATGCTTTTATACTGTGTATAGCTTCTTCGAATTTTCTGCATGATTTTACAGTTTCTAGCGATAAATCGAGACGCGTCGGTGGCCTAAGGTCAGGTGCCTTATTTTGTGATGTTTTTATTTTAATACTCATCTTTTTATCTAAAAAAAAAAATTAAGACACGTCCCCAGTAATTTTAAAAAAATGACTCCCTTGCATCCTATTCATTCCGATACTTTTTATGAGACTGTGTTAAATACCTTCATGAGATTAAAAAAATCAATCGATAATTAGTTAAATATCAATATTTTTACAAAATTTTCAAATTATCTTCCAATCAATTATTAGTAAATTTCGTCTGGAAAAGCGGTAAGTAAAAATGAAAATATCATTATTTAAGGTAAGAGTGAAATAGACAAAATCACATTTTAAAATGATTCACAAATGTTTTATTGAATTTTATAAACTTATGTTAAAAACTATTGAATAGGATCTTGATATAGTTTACAGTATGAAAATTAAGATCAATCCACCCAGTTTAATTGATAAATTATTAAGCCAATTTTTCTAACTGGTTTAATAAAACACTTAGTTTATAACCAATTTGATGATGATTTGACTATAATTTTAACTACTACTTCTTGAATTAATGTTTTAATCAGTTTGATTTTCAGTGCATTGATCTTATAAAATATAAATGCAATGAGGAAGACTATTGCAAGCAATTTCATTCCATTTTAATCTTTTATACTTTTATCAATTTAAAATTTTGAATCTCTTTTGGCCAAAAATTTTGGATCTCTCATTTTATCTCATATTTTTCTCTAACAATTTAACATCAAGAACTTATTCATTCCATCATCAAGGGTTTGAAGCGAATGTAATAACTATTAACTAACTTCAACCTAATAAAAAAACGTTCAAGTGGGATATCATATTAGTAGATTTTTTGGCCAGCAATATTAGTAGATATTCACTATCTTGTTATCTTACCAAATTGCTGTGGAAGTATTTATGTTTTAAAGTTTATAGGTTTTTTCATATGATGTATAGATATTGATATGTGTATTAGGTACAACGCATGTTCAATACGTTAATTACTTTTAAAAAATATATAAAATACGACACATTTTCGATACATGCATATTTATATATTTGAATCACAAAAAGCATTAAAAATATAATTTCAATTGAAAAAATATTCAAACTATCATACGTAATCATCAACTGTACTTTTATTCTATTTACGCTTAATTGTATATTGTCTAGTCTCCAATAGTAGTTCTTTGTTTGAGGATTATATATTAAAAAATTATGTTCCTATGTTTTTGTAATTAAAAAATATAATTTTCATCTTTTTATTATATCTAAAATTTATTCTTTAAGGAAAATCTAATCTTCATGTTTAAAAGCAAATCACAAAAATATATTAGAAGTAAAAAAGATTAATAGCTCAATATTTAACAAAATTTAATTTCCTAAAAATAATTTTGAAATATTAATTTTAAATTACTAATTCACAATTTAAAAATATTGGATATGTATCAAACATTAATTTTTTTTAGATTAAAAAATAATATTTCAATGCTCTAAAAATACATATCAAAACAACATCAGCAACTATTAATATCAAATATCATATCAATACAAATGCGTGAAGAAATTTGAAATATCGTGTTTTGTTTTTCCTTTTGATTGTTTATACTTTATATAGACAATAGCCAGAGTTCTGGAATTGTCAAAACATAATAGAACACACTTTTTCGGTGTCTTGACACATATACGAATTGTATACCCTACACGTACATGTATGAAGTCAATCAAAGATAATCCAAGCTGACAATATAATATGCTTTGCACATATTTTAATCTGATAATTTTTATGGCATGTATTTCAAGTTTATAATTACATTAGTGTTTTTATGAAGATAAATCAAATTATTATTTATAAACCATAGAACTGCAATTCATTTCAACACAGTATTTCAATTCAAGGCTGCATCTACCAAGCGAGAAAAGTATGAAGCATTTAACTTTTGCTCTTCCCAAAAAAACAAAACAAAAACACAGAACACAAAACACAGAACACAAAACAAAAAAAACAAACAGCTACCTTGGAAGAAGCTCGCAGGAGGAGAGAAGCAGGTAAGGTAACAATGTCAATGAAGTTCTGACAATTTTTTAGTAATATTGTTTGTCTTGGGTGTTTCCGTACGTTTCCACCCCTCTTGTGAAGCAAAGAGACTGATTGACTTTGAATCAGAAGGACTCCAACAGTTCAGCCTGTCTTCTTCTCCCAGTCATTCTTGTACTGAAGATCAATGGATGCTGAAGAAAGCAGCTGTGCAAGTATGGTTTCCGTCTTCCCAAATATGCTCCTTTTATACTCCTGTTAAGCTACATTCCTCTTTTGATTCGCGGGCTCGAGTTTGTAAACCCTGACCGTAAATTATAATTTTCAATCCTGCTTCCTATGTAGATGTGCATGTGGACTCTTATACTTACAGGCAACTGATCACTTTGATTCATCAGTTTCTCGAGGAGGAGAATTTCGAAGAGAGTCTTCATCTGTACGATGAAATTTTCATGTTGTTATTATAGTCATTCTGATCCTGCATGTGAGTCTGGGAGTTCTTTTTAACTAAACCTTTTTTCTCTTAAACTTCTCTGTGAAGCTTGGAGCACGAATCACAGATTTATTTCAACCTGAGGTATTTTGGGGACATAATTATCAATGGTGAGTGGGAGAAGGCAGGAAATTATCTTTCTGCATTTGCAAGGACTGGTGATAGTTTTTGGTCATCGAAGATATTCCATAGGATGCGGGAACAGAAGTGTCTTGAGACAATGCTCAGGTATACGCTTGGCGTCATTCATATTATGAATAAGATAGCCTAGTCATCAAGTATGTTTTTTTTTTTTTAAGATGGTGAGTGAGTTCTATAGAAAGCAAATGGAAAAACTAGAAGAATGGCTTTGCAACTTTGGTATTCAAACTTAAAGGGGGAAAAAAAAAGGCCTCTAACCTCCTAAGTTATCACAAGAACTAAAAAAATTTTACACGCGTCGAAACTAATCTCTAAACAAATCATATGATTATCGCGTGATACCTTGTTCTTCATTCTCGGTTTACCCCCTGCATGAAATTCTAACTTGTATTTCCCTGAAATCCTTTCTTTCCTATTCGCTTATTTTAATTGATATGTAATGTTTTTATTTTCTTGTGCATGTTATCGCCTTTTAAGGGTAAAATGTTATGTTTAAACTTCGTATACTAAAATTGTAGACCGCTGGCCTACGTGTACCTGGTGGTTTTATGCTCTGGCTGAAACTACTTGGGCACAGCTTTGAGAGCTGTAGGCGGTGGTTCTTTGATGTCAGAGTTATAATAGCTTCCTCAAAACAAAAGTCATTGGATCTGTATGTCATTTTGTTTGTAGAAAATTTGAGTGCACTGTGACTCAAGGGATGAAATTTTTTACTCAAGGACACGGACACATTGACATGTAGAACTTTGAAGAAGATAATCATTAACTCAACATGCACATGCTTACACACGCATATTTCACATCTTGTCATATGTATCACATTCAACTCCATATGTTTTGAACTTTCTGTTAGTGATATACTTCCAAAAAAACATACAACTGTCATTTGAATATGATAAGTATTTTCCTAAGTACTTTTTATATTATTATGTTCTAAGAATGCTAATCAAAAGTTCTTACTTCTTAGGCTATATCATCAAATTATTCATTAAAAAAAAGAAGAAGAAGATGAAGAACTTGCCAAGCACTTTAATTATCTCATCAAGATGGGATTTCTTGTCTCTCTTCTACTCCACCCCCTTTCTTGGGCTTATTTCAGTCCAAGCCAGAATGAGTTTGAGTAGCATTTTATGCATGTCCTAGGACCTTTTTAACTTATTCTGATATGTTTGTTTGCGATTTTACAATATATTATGGAAATGACAGTGTTGGACACGTGCCACACTTGGATATAATGTGGCTGCACTGTACATTTATCTCTCAAACCTTACCTTAAAAAATTGTCTTTTATTTGGGTGAACTATGGGAGCATATTTATAAGCAGTGCCTCTGAAATACTTGTATGCTGGTCATGAGAAACTCGATCATATATTTTATTTTGCCTTTATAACTTGTTACTCTGACATATTATAACACATACTGAAGAACTTGTGATCTTTGTGCTTGGCTGATTTCCAGAAATAACCTTGCTGAGGCCGAAACCTTTTTGCAGAAGGATTTAAGTCTGATCTCTGCTTCTGCTGCTGACAACTATGAGGAGTTTACCAGGGTCCATTTTTCAGAAAGTATCAGGCAAGCAAAAAATTCTGTTTCAGTAGGTTTTTCAATGCAGATATTCTTAAAATGACATGGACAATTAATCTGCAGGAATGATGAGAAATTATCCTGGTACATTAAGACAGTATACACATACACAAGGGCCAATTTGCAGAGTGATCTGAAAAAGTTAATAGAGGAAAATGATATTTTCCAAGACAAACTCTCGCTTCCAAAATTGAATGCTTCTGGACTTTTTTCAATAATGCGTCTAATACACCCATGCCCAGAAAAGGAAACAAGCATTAAAGTAAATCAGCTATTCATGTTTAATACGCGTTTATGCCTTTTAATTTTTTTTGCCACAAATGCCCATTATTTGATTATGTTCCTGAAAATAAATTTAGAATATCAGACTATGAACTTCATGTGCTTTTATGTTGCCTGGTTCGGTGCTGAGTCTTCTCATCTGATACATGCACAGTATATATGCAGGAAGAAATAATTTACTTAATTCTTCAGTTTCTTGATGAAGAAAAGTTCATGTTGACTCGTCACAAGTATGCTATTGTTGTATGATGGCTTTTGCTTTCCAGTATATTTTTCCCTGTCTTTTTTATTTTATTTTATTTTATTTTTAAGAAAAAAGTGATGTTAACTTTATCTGGTGAATGTGGCCAAAAACATGTTTGGTGAAGATTGGAGCAAGAAACAAAGATGTTTTTCAATCTTAATCATTTTGGGAAATTAATTATTGATGGAGAATGGTATGAGGCAGAGAAGTACCTTTCAGCCTTCACAAAATTGGATGACCAGTATCCATTACAGAGAATTTTTAAGATACAAGAAGGAAGACACCTTGAAGCTTTTGATGGGTAACTATCAGATCGGTGCTATTGTTTTCTTGTTTCTTGTCATTTATATTTTGTTTCTGGAGAGGGTATATTAACTGAAAATACTGCATTTAAAAGGATAAAGGTTTTACGCAACCACTTCCCCTTAGCCTAAAAGTAAATAAAGAAATAAAAATAAATGTATACAAGAAAGTCACCTCGTGAATAGTTGAAATGTTCATAATGGTAACCTTTGCCACAAATTTTGCACACAAATTTTTTCAGTGAAAATAGGAGGCTCAAAGGCCCGAAATACAAGAAGGAAACTGGCCACCATTGGGAAGAAGAGCCCCTGTCCCATTAGCTCGTACACTGTTAAGCACCTAAATCTGATGAAAACCTGCCCTCAAAAGCTATTTATTGAGGCGGGAAAACCACCCTCGAATTTTATCCCATGCAGCTTATATTGCTTGACGTAGGAACCAGGTATCTCATATTACTTTGGTCATTATCAATTTGCTGCTATATCATGATGGCTATACTGTGCAACCCTTCACTTGGCTTTCCATTGATCAAAATCCTTCACATGTAGCTCTTTGAAGCTACTGGCCACTAGCTCTAGTGCAAAATGATACATTCATAAGTGAACCACTCTACTTAAGTACCTCCTTGAGATGCCCATACTACTTGATGTGGGTTATAAACATCTCATATTACCTTGGTCCCTATCTAAGGAGATTCAAGAATGATGTCAAGTATTGTGAATAGTAGGTTCCAGTTGTGAACTTGATGTTGTGGTTTGCTAAAAGCTTTGCACCTCTATTAGATACATGAAAAGTATCTGTCACTTTGACAGTCCAATCCCTCTTCATCATCTTGGTTTGCATGATCATGTGACTTTGATGTTTTATTCCAACAATCTCATCCTAGAAGTTGTTGTTCTTTTAAATGTTTGATATGTTACATATTGTGATAATAAATTTATTTTATAAAAGTTCCAATATTGGGTTTTCCCTTTGAACACTCTCATTGTATGCTCTAAGGTACAGATTGGTGAAACGCAGGAGGCTTCCAACCTTTATCTTTTGAACTTCTTTGCCATTAAACAGAAAGCTATTGTTTCCTTTTCTTTTCGAGTCTGAATTATCGTTAATATATTATACTGATCTTTTCTTGCAGAAAGATTGACTATTTATCCAACTTAACCGATGCTTCTTCTGTAAGAGCTGACCTCCTTGATGGTCGGAATCGATTAATTAGCAAGTATCCCATTTTGCAAGATAAAATCAAGTTTCCTTGCATGAATAAATCAAGGCTCTTGACAATAATCAAGCAGAGGTAAGTTAATCATTTGTCGCTCCCTCAAGTCCTTTTTATAAGAGCACTTCTAGAAGATCTTTTTGGTCCATAATATAAGAACTCTTACCAAATTTAGTGAAGCAATATGTGTGATTTCCATAAATGCCCTTGATAATTTTACTCTGTCTCATTAAAAATATTCAAAAGAGAAAATTGGGGATAGATGTTAACTTTTATCAAGGGTATTTCTGAAATGTTACAATAACTTTTGACAAAATAAAAGTTCTAAATAATTTTAACTACATGCCTTAATCCACATGATTCGTTTAAAATGTTCTTATAGAAAGGACCAAAGGGAGTAGCTGTTTATATGGTTTTGGGATAATTAATTCTGTAGCCATTTATCTTGCAAAAGAGGTAATTCGCTATTAAACATTGCAGTATGGATTGGTGGGTCCCCCATTATATAAAAGCAAGGGCTAATCCTGATAACGGTACTTTTTCTGTGGATGCTATACCTAGAGTATCTTACCTTTGTTGTGGTCCATTTGTTCCCATTAGTTCATCTAGTTTGGAGACCGGAGAATCAGGCACGCCATGGACTTGTGGGGTGAGAACAGGATAGCATACAATTCATTCTATTATCTATAATTCAGTTATTTCGTATCTAGCTTTCAGCTGTTAAATCAGTTAATAACTAGACTGCAATTGAATTGTAGGTGCATTCAAACTGATCATTGTGTGATTCCCTCTACAGTCATTAACTTTTTGCATTTTAAATTCATGTTTAGTCTAATGATGCAAGCTGCACTACTGATGTGAATTCCGGGGTCAGCCTGAAGAGAATAGATAAATCTGAATTCCAAGTTACAAAGAACTGCTCATGCCAGAAAGAGATGGAAATGTCAGTTCCATGCAATAATGAAGAAAACTGCTCTCACCGCTTGAATTTTTTGGGGGGGAAAAATTGTGTAAAAAACTAATAACCCCTTTTCATTTTTATTCTATTTAGAGGAAGCAACGACCAGATAAACCAAAATTGTGGAGTTGGCATAAAGTCATCAACTGAGATAATAGAGATCAATGAACCATCTCAATGCTGCATGCTTGTACTTCCTAATGATTCAGTGTTCGCAAGGGTATGAAGCTCCTGTCCTAATAAGCGATGGAAGATATTGTTTGCAGGGAGCTCTGTTCCTAATCAAGTAATGTGAAGTTTTTTTCACATTGATTGGGATATTATGCTGCCTATAAATCTGAGACTTGAATATCATTTGGTACTTGCTCTGCTTTTGATTATTAGACTTTCTTAGTTGTGATACGTCCTGGTTTATGAACCATATCAGGTTGCTAGATTAAATTTTACGTGTTCAGGGGATTTCTTATTGGCCTTAGCCCAAAATGCTGTGCACAAACTTTGGCTTTTAGATGATGACAAATGCTTGTCAGGAAAGGTACTGCATTGCTGTGTACTGAATCCTTGTTTTTTCATCGTTTGCTTCATGTGCAAGGGATAATCTCATCTCCTGTCTTCCTGTGCAGGGAATAACTGATATTCAACCTTCGGTACATCAATCTTCGAATGGGCAAGTCATGACTAATCATGCAAGTGAAAACGAGAAGGACATTGATTACTGCTTTGCACTGAAAGATCATCATCTGCTGTCAGCATCTGGTGGAAGGATCTCCAGATATAATCTGAAGACATTTGAGGTATTAGCACGGTCAGCCAGTTTTTCTAGTTTGTCGTTTTTTGCTGGTTTCATTTATTTTCTCCCGTGTCTTCATTTCCTGCAGACAGAGGAAACATTTGCAGTCCCTCCACATGTGGCTACCTATTTCATCTCTCTCTCTCAAGATGTCTTTGCTATTGCTTTTGATGATTCAAGAATTTTAATTTACTGTACCTGCACTAAAAAGGTTGGGAACCATGCTAAGTTTTGGGTTAGTCAACGTTGCAAAATGCATATTGTCTTTTCCTTTTTTATTAGCAGGTCAAGGCCGAGCTCCAAGGTCATCTAAAGACTACATGTCTTGCTTTTTCTCAAAATTTAAACGTGCTCGTGTCATCAGGAGATGATGCTCAGGTGTGCTGATTTTTGGTGTATACTAGGTCTCGAATTCCTTTTCTTTTATAGGCCTTTTCTGCCTCTGAAAAATTGGGTGTATGTGTATCTGGACCTTGTAAGTGGTGGGAACGGATGGGGGAACAATTCCTCCTCTTGTCAACTTACAGAGAGCGTTTTGTGCAGTTGTGTGTTTGGGATGCAGATGGATGGAAGAAACTGGCAAGTAAGACTCTGTGCAGTTTGCATTCGGTGCAGGTGCTGGACCCACCTGTAGTGAATTACATTGAATTCCACAAGGATCAAATTCATTTACTAACTGTCAATGAAAGGCAGATAGACGTATATGAAGCACCTATGCTGAATCACTTTATGCAGGTATGCTAGCAGCTTAGATTAGTTATGCTTGATAATTCAAAATCTAATCTTGTGCAGTATGATTCTTCAGAGTGCTCCACCAGAATCAGATCTTCCAATTACTTACGCCACTTATTCATGTGACGGTGAGTCAATTTTTGCGAGCTTCAAAAGTGGGTGCGTAAAAATCCTCTCGAGCGAGACACTTGATGTGAGATGCAGGATCACCCTTACTGCATATGCGCAACCAAACCCAAGGTATTTCTTTTCTTGACAATAAGTGATGAACTTGTTGACTTTCAATTTTCAGTTAATGATATAATGGTTTAATGCAGCTTGGAGGTTTATCCTACTGTTGTGGCAGCACATCCACTAAAACCTAATCAAATTGCTCTTGGGCTTACTGATGGTAGAGTTGTTCTTCTCGAGCCTCTTGCTTCTGAAGGAGAGTAGAGAAAGGAAGGCCGAATTTGTTGTTCCTAACTTCATCTCTTCTACAATTAGCATCATCTGTTAATTTTTTTTTTTTCCTTTCTTATCTGGCTACATTTGTATGTTCCATTAGGGGGCCTTGTCTATATCTTAAACCCAGCCTGCTGATCATATTCGTTTGTTTCTCTCCCCCATTTTTCTGGGTCATTTTCTGGTCACATTTCGCTGAATTGGTTGGTGCACCATGTTTGATGCGATGGCAGGCCCATATGATCGCGAGGGTTGGAGGATTAAATGTAGTTAAAGGAAAAATACTACCTCAGTGACAATTTGTATTCCCTCTTGGAAATTTTGCTATGGTTGTTGCTGTATTCATTTGTAAATTGGAGGAGGTTAACTCCTCACAAAAAGGAAAGGAATTCATAATTCATTCATCTCTTTCACAATGATGGGGCAAATGTTTCCTAATTTTAAGTCCAACGCCTTGTTTCTGATGATTAGTAGTTTAGGATGCAAAGATTGTAAAACGATCACGGTGGGACTCGAACCCACAATCTCCCGCTCCGGAGGCGAGCGCCTTATCCATTAGGCCACGCGATCTGCTTCAAGTTTCTTGAAGGTGCAATAAATTTATCATAACTATTATCGTGGTCCGCAACGCTAGAACATGAATCTGCGAGAGCGAAACCCAATTACTTATTTTCAGCTGATCCTTTACTTTATTGAATTATCTGTTCTGGATTTTAAATTAAGAGTATGTTTGGTTGGAGGGGAGGGGAGTTTGGGAAAAATAAAATGGAGCTAAATCCTCCCCCTAAATTGGGGGTTCCTCCTCTTCCCCTCTCCAACCAAACATGACATAAATGGTTAAATTACAGTATCACACTTAACCTTGTAAACTTCAGGCCTAATTTAAAATCGAAAAATATTAGAAGACCTTTAAATTAATTTTTCCATTCAACTTTGATGTCTAAGGCCTGTTCTTTTAATTCAAAACAAGCCTAAAAAAGTGTGGGCTTTTGAAAACTCAAGGCGGTCCAAATGAGAAGGGTTAGGTCTTTTTTGGAAACATGATTCTCCCTCCCCACCGCATGCCAAAAGCCAATTTAAACTTCCAAGATTTCATATTTTAAAAATATTATTAAAAATAAAATTTCAAATTTCAAGTTAAAAAAAAAAGATTTTTAAAGGTGAGAGAGAGAGAATGCACAACAACCACATAGCCGCCAATGTCAAATAGTCAATATGTCAACGGAGTCTAGACTGGCAACCGAGAGACTCAAGATGTAGAAGGTAAATCACTAACCGCTCATTTAAATAAATGAAAATCCCGGCCACTTGCGTCAGAATTAGCAAGTTTACATTCATTGCTTCGATAAATCGTAGTAGTAATTTACAAATTATGAACAATTCAGCTCATTTTTTATTTTTAAAATTTACTGGAATTTGTCTATCAAACCCCAAAAAGATACTGACAGTCCCATATTTGTCATGTGTTGTTTCTCTTAGCATCTCAAGCACATCATATGCACGCATGACATATGCTTTCTTAGATCTATTGTCAGGCGCAAATCGCAATAACACAATTTTGGCGAGCGGTATGGGATTTCACAACACACAAACACAACAAACACGATTTTGGCAAGACCTGCTGAACTCTTCTTCATCTGCCAAAACGTCTCCGTTTTTCATCGCTTCCATCTAGCTCCTGAATCCTAGCATAATTATACCTAATCCGCCGTCTTTGACGGAGTTTAAGTATTTCACTTAAGAAATTATATCCTTTGTACATACTTGGTTTGGCCTATCAAATCCGTAAGATTTAGAACCTAATAATCTCTAAAGATAACGTCGTTGGCTATGCTCATCAACGGTTCCAACGCCTCCGGGGCGAACTTCCTGGCGAACAAGAATGGATCCCGCCGTCCATTATCAAACCACCAATCAGAGCCGTTGATCTCCTCGTCGCCGTACCTAGGCCTCCGATTTCGGATGCTCTCGAACAGTTCGGGCCCCACCTCGGATGAATTGTACGTGCGAGGGTGCCCATCCTCGCGGCCCGTCCAGTCCACGTGCGTCAACGTCGCTGGCACACATCCCTTTGGGTCCCACATGCTGAGAAGGGTAGGGAAGTAATTTTCTTCGGGGTAGCACGAGTACTTACAGACGCATGGCAGCTTGAATTTCGACCAGAGTTTATGGTCACTCACCACCAGCCTCGCGTGCTTCCGTGTCAGTGCCCAAAATTGCGACCCTATCCGGAAGTCCTCCAGCTTCACCTCCGGGAGCATCACGTCCGGCCCACGCGCCGCCCATCTGTCGTACGTCCATTTCTCGTGCTCCAGGATCTCGATGAAGCTCTTCGCGGAAGGGATCAGCGTATTGTAGGTGAAATTGAAGGAATGCAGGGGTACGCAGGAGGCCGATAAAAGAGCGAACATGTAATTGGAAGAATCGTCTATGAGAGCGTGCGCGAGGAGACGACGCGCCGCAGCGATTAGCGTCGGGGAGTACCTCTCCGTGTGTTTGGAAGGGATGATTCTGTCGGAGAAAACACCAGAAAACGGAGGGTCATAGGTGAATCGAGGGTCGGCATGGAGGTAGATACTGAAGAGATTCTTGGGGGCTTGATTGAAATAAGCCTCCCAGAGAGGCGCAAAAGGGAGAGGCGTTGTGGTGAGGAAGAGGAAGGCAATCTTTCGGGGCGGTTTTGGCTTGGCCTTGACCCGAGCGGCGACCCGGAGCAAGACGTCGTCGTCTTCAATAGGCGAGAGAACGTAGCGGAGCAAATTCTTGCGAGTGCTGTGAGCATCAAAGAAAGCAATGGACTGGGCAACAATGGCGGTGGGGATGGGGATGGGGATGTCGGGGATAGGGGTGTCGGGGGTTTGGGAGAGGTTGGGTTTGTTTGTAGTGGTGGCGGTAAAGAAAATGGCGAGGGGAAAGCATAGGAGTAGGAGGCAGAAGAGAGAGAGGGGGTTGGGAGAGAGCATGGCTGTCTGAGACGGATCTGCTCGGTCGCTGTGGAGAAACCAGAGGGAGGGTGAGTGAGTGACCTTGATGGAGCGATTGTAGCGGGAGTGAGACTTCAGGTGAAGGGTTGGATTTTGGATATTTGTATTGACTTCGCGGTCTCACGTGACACCCCTCCAAATATTCACATGCGTCCTCCTTCTTTGCTCTTCGTACATCCTCCCTCATGAAATTTAGTTCCCACTATTAAAAAATTTAGTTTTTGAAATTTTTACCGTCTTTACTTGAGCGTTCAAGAATAATCAAAATATTAAGAAATATATATTCCTATCATTTTCAGAAAATACTTTGATTAGTTTATAAAAATAATGACACCTCGCTTAAATTATTGAGAGGGTCGGTAATAAAGAAGGGATTTTAGATGGATTAATGGGCATTGAGATGTGGTGATGCGGTTCTATTTTACTATCCTTTTCTCTTCCTTCTCTTTTCGTTTTGTTTTTAAAGCTGAGTATCATTTTGGGTTGATTCTCTCGAGATGATTGAAACCTGAACAATCAAGAGGTGACTGACTTGAGTTGACCATGCATTTTGAGAAATAACTTATTCTTTTTCTAAGTTAATACAGTGTCTTTTAGATAAAAACACAAATACTTACTAATTAAAAAGGAGGAGAGTTGAACGGATATGACTTGAAAAATAAAATAAAAACATTAAAAGGCCACTGTTGCTTCTAATCCCGAAAGAAAAGAAATATTGGATGAGCGTCTAGCTCCCACGAATCACGATATATTCTTCCCTGAGTTTCTTGTCGTTAATTGCAAAATAAAAGAAAATCAACAATAAAGAAAAACTCTAATATCTTATTGTTTTTTCGTTACGTTTCGAATGGAAAGAAAATCCCAAGAGGAGGTGAATGATTAAGGAATTTCCTTCAGTGTTGGTTAAATGGTTGTAAAATACTTCGATATTTGGAGTAATAAATGATACAGTATTCATTCAAAAGAGAACGAAATGGAAGAAAATTATATGAGCAAAAAAAAAAAACATTTCTCACCTGCATTTTTTCTATTTCCTTTCAAAAAGAAGAGAATTAGACGAAAAGTTTTATGCTAAGTAGGACTCAAATCCATTTTCTTTATTGTGGTGTGGTGCGTTAAAAAGAAAGCAGGAACAGTGAGTTAATAGCGGTGTGGACAGACACAGCTGCTGACGGTACACGTGTCAGCTTTGGTGAAGGAGCCAAGGTACAGTAGAGAGTGCATGCATCTCCTTACTCACTACAGCGACACGTGGATGCCACGCCATATCATCCATTCTTGTGGGCCCCCTCACTCAGACTGCTTCTGTTCTCTTGTCAGCACACGTTCCCTCCTGCCGTGCATCCATTCCCTGGCGAACCTCCAAATTTTTTTTATTTACTGCATTCCCTTTTTTTTTTCCCTCGCCCAATAATCTTTTCACTTAAATTAAAGATTCCCTTTATCTTTGCATACAAAATATTTTAATAATTTTTAACTTTTCGTATTTTTAATCGAATCATTTAAATTAATAAATATTAATTATTTATTTAAAAACATAATAATATTTTAATTTTAAATTTAATTGTTGTCAATAAAAAATAATTTTTTAAGTAAATTAATAAATATATATGTTTTTCTCATTTCAATATATTAATTTATTTTAAAAAAATATGTTAATAATTGTTCATATTTATAAATTAAAAAAGTTTCAAAAAAATTTATATATAAAATAGAGGGTATATATTTTTAAAATTATTAAATTTTAATTATAAATTTAATTTAATAATCTAGATTTAGAATGATCCTTCCTCTGCTCGTCCTGCAAGGGGCAAAAGCAACTCTCTCTTTTCATCATTTTCCTTCATATATTGATATCATATTATCATTGCATTGAATACATTTATTTTAATAATAAATTTAATGAATAATTATGATTAAAAAATAAAAATCAAATGCACAGGTTTCAAGTCCTCCCCATTTACCCTTCCCTATTTCTTAAATACCCAGAATTTTTATATCCGAATCAAATTTACTTGATCTTAGAAAATTTAAAAAACTAGGAAGATGAACAAACAGAACCAAAAATATAAAACATTTATTTGGTCTTAAAAAATTTAAAATGACCTTTTAAATATTTGACTATGACCTATGTTCGAAAATTACTGCGCGGAATTACTCCCAATGTGCTGTGTTAGTGTACATTAAATTGGAATAAGAGTGGGCTTTGGGCCCACATCCAAAATGATTTCCATTTTTTCCCCTAATATATATTATACATTATAAACAAATATTTATAGACAAGTACGTATATGCATTATTTATTTACTTATTATCTATTCATTCAGGCTCTCTCTTTTATATATTATTATTATTATATTTTTTTCACTTGAACTTAAATCTTTATGATTGGTTTTATTGTAATAAATTCTCCTTTTAGAGTTATTTTGTTTATTTTCTAAACTCCAAATCATCAATAAACGCTCTCCAAATCATCAATAAACGCTCAATAATTTGCTATACTCTTCATTTCCTTTCCACGCCTCACGAATTATCTATAATTATTTTATGATCTTTATATTAAATTTAGAATGTTACAGGTACAACTTAACTTCTATCATTAATAAAATTTAATTTTAATTGTTAATTGATTATAGAATGATAAAAAAATATCTCAAAATTATAGAAATGACTAGGAAATGAGAACAAAGAATTTAAAAATTATAGATAATAATTCAAAAATTACACAAAATGACTCAAAATTTTAGTCATTTTCTGTATTTTTTGACATATTTTTCTAATCAATTAACAGTTAAAGCTAAATTTTCTGTAAATTACATAATAAATGAATTTAAGGGTTATAATGTTATTGGACTTAAAGCTTGTGAGTAATTTGTTAATTTATCTTTTTTTTTTAACCATAATTCCTTTTCTATAAAAGGGCCTTACTGCTTTTTCACGGGGGGAAAAAACCCCCAACTAATCACGGGAGCAGATCACCTTGGAAATAACCTTCCAGTCGCCGGAGCATCAACAACCCACGGACTTTTTTTTTTTTTTAACAAGGCCTTGTTTTCTGAAAAGTTTCTTGGAATTATTTCACTGTAGTTGGGCCATGCTGCGAGACTATTTTGTTGTATATGCCTATTTCAGATATCCTTTTATATCATTCTTCAAAAATATTTTATATTTTATTTATTCTGATAAAATTCTGTTTTGGTATTCTTTTTGGTGGAATATTTTATTTTAAATGATATGCACCTATTTGGATATTCATTAGAAATTAATTCTGGGACAAAATCATAATTTTGCAAACATTTATCCAAACACTCTCATTTTACAAAACTTTATTTAGTTTGAAAAATTTCATTTTAAAAAAGTTGAAATTTCGTACATTTACAAAACTTTATTTGGCTTCTTTTATTTATATCACTTATTTGTATATTTAAAATTTATTCTTAAGAAATCATCCAAACATATTCAATTTATCAAAATTAATTTTTAAAAATTTATTCAAATGTTCTAATAATTAATTTTTTTATAATTCATTTTTTTCAATTCAAATCCAAACACGCCTAAAGGATTTTGGGCCCAACAAACTAAACTTCAAGTGTAATGTTAACGGCCTTTAAAAAAACAGTTTTCCATTAACACAAAGACTTGCCCAAGCTAAAGCATCTAGGGCCCTTGACGTCTTCCAGAATGTGGGCCACCTCATTCCAAAAAGTTTTTGGTGGCCTTAAAAGTTTTTTCTGCAATTTATTTTTCATGCATGCAAATGTTTTCATTTCAACAAGTTTTGTAAAGGATTATATTTAAATATTATTTTTTAAAATTAATTTTGATAAAATTAAAAATATTTGGATAATTTTAATCATAATCAATTCTTGATATGTAAATTACAATAAAAGGAATGAGTTTTATAATTTAAATATTGATAAATTTGCATATAATAATATCATTTATCCTTTATCAACTTAACAAATAATATATATACATATATAAATAATAGTCATGTATTTAATTGTGTATATAATTATTTGACATATAAGTATATAATAATGTAATTTAACTTTAAATAAATCACAACCCCCACCTTATCCCTCAGAGCGGCAAGTGTAAAGAGTGTTTTAAATTAAAACTTAATCATCAGACTAACTATAACAAATTAAGAACTAATCCAAAAGGATTATTCTATAAGAAATTAACCTAAATAAATTTTTAATATGTATTTTCACAAACAATTCAACATAAAGGAATTTCAAGTCTTTAAAATATTTTAAGAACTCATATCATCAATTAGACAAATGCAGAAGCATGATAAAGGAAACACATCAATATGAAATAAAAGTTTCCCCCTTTATTTTCTCTCTATGCCTTACTCCACAATACATATATACATAATTACAATATAACACTTGATCACTTAAACCCTTTCATAACTGGCAGCGAGGGGCCAAGGTCTCGATCACATTTATCACAATAACTATTACCTAATCATTATACTTATATATCATCTATTCATCAATAGCTCCTTATATGCATGAATTTTTCCTTTCATTCACATATAATTAACATCAGCTGCTTACCTTTAGACATCAAAAATACAAAGGGAGATCATAACAACATTCAAATTCTCAAATTAAGCAGACAATAACTATTTTCACTTGCACAAATATTTTGGCCCGTTAATATAGAACAAGCATCAAACCACATTCTTAAGGGGCCTAAAATACATTTTCACCCAACACAAAACCCATAATGCAAGTGGATCAAAAATATATTATTATAGTTGACAATATTATAAACTAAATACACATATCAAAGTAAAAAGAGAAAGGCCTACAAAAGTGATCATTATCACTTGGCCTAATGCTCCTTTTCTATGTTCTTCTGAGATGAGCTAGCTCCTATAATATGTTAAAAGATATGGGTGAGTATAACCACTTAGTAACCAATATACATCTAAGTGATATAAATGCATAATAATTAATCATGAATACAAGTGGCTGATAAGTTTATTAAGGTGAACATGTAAACAATCACAATAATAACATATTAATTATATTAACATCTA